TTACTTGTATATATTTTCTGAAGCGTCTGTTCAAACATTTTGGCCATAAATTATCACATTGTCTTGAGCTCCATATGCATTTTTAAAATAAGAATTTTGTAAGATATATGTATTGCAAGTATTTTTCCCAACGTTTCAAAAAACACAGGTTTTTAAAAATGTTGTCTATTTCACTGATTTTTTTAACTTTGCTTTTTTATCTAAAAAATATTTGCCAAGCCCAAAGTCATGAAAACTTCCCTCTGCTTTATTTCTATAAGTTTTAGAGTTTTTGCTTTTATTTTTAGGTCGATGATCCCTTTTTTTAACCTAATTTTTATGTGTGATATGATGTAAGAATTGAGGTTCATTTTTCTCCATATATATATCCAGTCGTTCTAACATTTATTAAAGAGACTATTGAAGTGTCTTGGCACCTATCAAATATCAATAGGCCATATAAGTGTGAGTCTATTTCTGGTCTCTAGTCTGTTCATTGGTTCATGTCTATCTTTATTTCAATACCACATCTTGATTAAAGTAGCAAAGCTTTATATAAATAGTACAAGTTCTGTAATCTTTCTTCAAATTGTTTTGGCTATTCTGGGTCATTTGCATTTACACATAAACCCTATAATCAGCTTGTTTACAAAAAAGACTGCCAGAATTTTTAGTTAAATTGCATTATTTATATGTCAATTTAGGGACAGTTAACATTTATAAAAGTGAGTCTTCCAATTCACAATTATGGGATATCTCCATCCAATTAGCTTTCATTTCTTACCAATTTCTGTGGTTTTCATTGGCCAAGTCTTACACAAATTTTGTTGTATTTGTCCCTAATTATCTCATGTTTTTTAATTCTGCTGTAAATGGTAGCTTTTAAGTTTCCACTTCCAATTATGTTGCTAGCATGTAGAAATAAAAATGAGTTTTGTATATTGACTTATCTTACCTTACTAAACTCACTTATTAATTCCAGTAGCTTATTTTTTAGGATTTTCAACGTTTGATCATGTCTTCTGCAGAGTTTACTTTACAATATGTATGCCTTTTCTCTTTTTTGCTTTGTTTCATAGGTTGGATCTTCAGTACAGTATTAAATAAAAATGGCGATAGATATCTCTTTGCCTTCCCCAACTTAGAAAAAAACAAACAATTATGTATGAGGTTAGCTGGAGACTTTCAGATATTCTGTCAGGTTTTAAATCTAGTTTGTTCCGTTTTTATCATAAATGGATATTGAATTTCGTTGTACACATTTTCTGCACCTACTGAGATGACTATGTCCCCCCACCCCTATATTGTTAATTTGGTGAATTACATCAATTTTTTAAATTCTGATAATTGGTATTTAAAAACAATTTTAATTTTAAAATACATGTAACATCAAATTACCATTTTAACATTTTAAGTGTACCAATCACTGTCGCTAAGTGTATTTGCTGTTGTGCAACCTACAACTTTTCCATCTTGCATAAGTGAAACTAGCCATTAAACAGCCCATTTCTCCCTCCCCCTTTTAATTCATTTTTTTTATTTTATGAAAATTTCAATCTATGACCAATTGGAAATTAAAAAGGTCCTTACCTCAGACAATTTTAAAAGCAATGTTCTAAATCAGTTGGTTTACTAGTAATTAAAAAAGAAAAAAGCATTTTTAACACGTGCTTAACTTACAAACTAAGATTTGAAGTCCTACACCAAAAAATCATTGTCTGGGAGAACAAAATATACATCACCAGTTTCCTGAGAGTTTTCATCACTTCAAACTAGGTAAAATTAAACTGTGTTTTTAAAGCAATTTCTCTCTCTCAAACCGTAATTTCTTTTTGAAGTACAACCAAGTCTGACCACTACTTGACCATCAAAAAAATAAAAAGTAATTTTCTCCTGTCTCCTTTGATTCTTCGCCACTTCAGTCCTGGTTGAAGCACCCTGTTGTTACTTAGCCAACATGGACAAGTTATTAGTTTTAATTAAAAAAAGAAAAGGCTTTACTAGGAATTTCTAGTTTGACAAAATCATTGGCTCACCTTTTGACATATACTTAGTCTCAGCATTCTGTCTGTTATTCTACAATGGTTTGGCTTTTTAGATAAGATTTATTATTTTTTTAGAAAAGACCAAACTCTACCACCCAGTTTTAGTTCATGGAATCTGTTCTTCACAAATTGATAGTTTTAAAGTATGTGGAGATGATCTATCCATCAGGTGTGGGCTGTCACGTTTCTGTCCAACCAAATATCTCTGGAGTTTGAGGCTATTTGTAGAAATAATACTTCTAACAGCACAGAAATATACTGTATAATAGCTTTATTTTTCTCATTTTACTATTTTTACATTTTATGCACAAATATTTTTATCTGAGTAAAAATAGAAAATAACTGTTTTATGTAAAATTACAAAAAAAATAAAAACCACAAAGAAATACATAATTGTTATTATGACAGTATAAGTGTCTTTATTTAAAGAGTAAAAATGTATGCAAAAATCCTCCTCCCTTTTACAAAAAATTGAGAATTTTTTCTGGCAGCAAGTGAAGTATCACTGAATATCAATATTTTTACACCCTGTAGATATGAAGACATTAACTTAGTCACAGGTTGTTTTGCAATTTTGAATTTAAAAATATTTTTGTGCTATTTCAAAGATACGCTAATTCTTTTTAAAAGGCAGTAGCATAAAATGATGACTATGGAAAACAGCAAACCTTGTAAAAAGTATTTGGAGGTACAACCCTTTAAAGAAATATACTTGAGTTTCACCATTAATCAGAGGAGAAAAACAACTAAACATTTTTTCCTAATTAATTGACACAGACTGATACAAAAATGAATGTGGTAAGTTGATTCATGTGAGGATCAACCACATAGCAATTCTGCCTTATTTGATTTTCTGATGCCAACACAAATTTCCAAACTTTAAGTAGCTAGATACCCATGAAGGTGGCTCAATGAGAACCTTATGTGGAAAATTAAGTTTTAAAACAAAAGTGAACATTTCATTATTCTTGTACTTAATAAGGTACAAGATGACTGATAATTTTATCTTTTGTCCTTTGAATATATTGTAAATTCTCCTATGGAAAATTCATTCATAAAGACCCAACAAAGAATGAACAGTGTGAATTGTATTTTTTTTCATAATCTTTTAATAAGGGAAAAAGACTACCTGACTTTCTGATAACTGTAACTACAATAAGGACAATGAGAACAGTTTATGTGAGTTGAGACAAAGTAATAGTTTTTGAATCAACTGGGGAAATTAGCCTCATTACTTTACCTATGTTATGGTGCATAAAGTGATAAAGAGAGGCAAAGATGACGAAAGGAGGAGCACCCAATCATGTATGCGAATTGTCTCTGTTCAAAGTATGAGAAATAAAAACCGCTAAAGGAAGAAAAACGGGGGGGGGGGGGGGGAGAGAAAGGGAGAGAGAAAGAGAGAGTGTGTGTGTGTGTTTAAAGCATCTGAGGAATGCTTAAAGGAAAAAAAATAATTTGATTTTAGGAATCTAAAATAAATGTAGGCGTTCCTTGCCTTAAAAAAAATCTATATATCTATATATCTATAGATATATAGATATATATCTATATCTATAAAGGAAGCCTGCCATCCTGGCTAAAATTCTAACATAATGTCCTCCAAAAAGCATTTTAAAAGTCAAGTATTTTAAGCTCTTGATAATATACCAGAATAGTATACTCTATTTTTTTTTAAAACTGTAAGTGACTTGTCAACTCCCCAGGCCATAAGTGGATGGTACAAAAACCTTCTTTCCAGCTATTTGTTATCTGAAACTAGAACTTCCATATGTTATCTCACAGTGCTATCTACTCAGGTACTCTTGCAATCACTGCACCTAATATATACTAATAATTTGTCAGTCTATTCTGTATGTGTTTATAAAAAGGTAAAAATGGGAAGTTACACATTTTATTCTTTTTTAGCTATCTACTGCAGGGTCTTAAAGGACTTAATACAATAATATAAATGAACCAACATTACACTTTGTAGTCCTATAGCACAGCACTTCAAATTATGATTTGAGGTTATCAGACAAGGAGATTATAGATCCCCCTCTCCTCCTTGTTCCTAAGAGCCTGCATCCTGTGCTTCATTCCAAACCACTGCTTAGCACTGACAGCAGCAAGCGCTGACTGCCCCACTGCCTGACCCTTTCCTCCTAGTTAGTCAAAAGCATTAGCTCTCTTATAAAGCTGTTTAGAGGGATGAATTTAAAGTAAATGATGAGGGAGAAGGTGCATAAAGTAATATTTAAGAATCAGTCTTCTGCTCTAAGAGGATTAGAAGTTATGTGCCAGTATCTCATATCAGGATTTATACACAATACCTTACAACAAAAACAAAAACAAAAAAAAAACAAAGCAAGAAGAGCAAGCAAGCAAGCGAAAAAGACATTTCTGGCCACTTCTGTTAGTGTTAGCTTGTGGTGAGCAAAGAATTTCATATATATGTATACACACACATATATATATGTATATATATATATGTATACGTATACATATATATGAATTATTTAATATTTTAAGATTTTTAAAAATGCGTTACCTTTTGAAATACCTTTCCTTTTGAGTACTGTCTTCCTATATGTGTGTATCTATATATAGAGAGGAAATAATCAAATGGACATGTATATAGATATTTATATACTCACACATATAAATATTCAAAAGGAAAAAATTAAATAAATGGGAAATTTTGTTTTAAGAGAAGACTGCCTGTACTGGAGGTCAAAATTTCCTTTTTACTATATACTATTTGCAAGTAGCTTACTAATATCTTGAAAGGTAAAGTCTGCTGACTGATTTAAAGTCTTCATTTCATCAGAAACACAATAACTATATAAACTGCTTTGCATAATAATCGGCACTAAAGGGCAACTTTTTCAAAAAAGAGAGAGAGAAGCCAAACCAAACCAAGCCAACCTTCTGGCTGAGGTATACCTTCTCGGTTTTTTTAAATCTCTGACAGGAAAAACAGAGATCATTTCAAAATTTTTGTTATAATTGGTTTATTAGAATTAAATGCCTCTTTTAGAATAATTTAAATTCTTGGCCTGACATTATGAATAATCCATACAGAAACCCTTAATCTGGCTTGAGTTAAGGTTTGAATAAACCTGCATCTCCCTCTTCGGCGCTGCTCTTCTGCCAGTCGACTCCCTTATGTCCTCTGTTCGCAAATACATACATTACTTTAATAACCTGATACTATATTAGTTTAGCAGTTTATTACTATTCTATTTTTATTTGATATGACTGTTTTAGCTCGGCCTGATGAGGCAAAACAGGCACACATGCTTTAGCTGTTAAAATTCCATGTTCTGGTTCTATGTAAAGCAACATCTAAAGCAGCAGAGAGGGAAAAGAGTTACATTTTCAAAAATAGTTAAGCCAGACTGTTCCCTGGAGACACTTCATTTATTTTTCATCCTCAGATGCTACTGGCTATTTTTGGTAGGGCTAGACATTAATACTGACCAGTTTAGCTTTCCTGACTGTTAACAAGTTATCCCACAATGAACCTGCCTTCATACTGAAGCCATTGTGGTGATCCTTTAACATACACATATTCTAAAATATATGCTCAAAGTAAAAAGATCCAAATTCACAAGAGTATGAAATATTTATAAAAAAATCATGCATCGGATTGTACAGTCTAGAAATAAAAGATTCAAATTCAGTAATAAAGGTAAGAGCAATACTTGCTCTAATATTTAAGAAAGACTTTGAAATCCCAGAAGGTCCTGGGCTCAATTATCCTTTTCTGTTTGCAGAGAAGCTGTGGCCAGGGCTACGGCCGTGACTGGCTGGGCAATTCCATGGAGCTGCATCTTTGCAAGTTTCTTCTGTTCACATTCTGTGACCAATCGGTTCAACTCTGCCGCACTGTATCCAATAAGAGTCTTCAAGTCACAGACAAACTTGTACACAAATCTCTTGCCTTGAACTTTACAAATCATGTCCCCATCATAGTAATATCTTTAAAAAGAGAAAAACACATCAGCACTATATAAAAAAGTTTGACTTGTTGCAGTATTTCACAGACTATTCCGTAAGCAGAGGACTGGTAGAGTATTGCATGTACCATATTGACAACTACCATTGAAGTTAAATAGAAATATTTAATGTTACTATCCAAAGAAACTTCAAAACATTATTTACTAAGATTCCAATGCTCATACTCCAAAACTTTATATATTAAATTCCAAAGCATGCTTTCCACAATTAGGATAAAACACTGATTTAAAAATAAACATTATTAAACAAACCGAAACCTTGGGAGCAGTAATAGAATCGATGAACAACAGCTTAGAGTCAGAATGCTGAGACTCGAAATCTAGCATCGTATTTCTTTTGTGACCAGAAGAAAGCCACATTTTCTCTTTTATTCCTCATTTATAAAAGGAGGTTAAAAAACTGTACTTATTCTCCTAGAACGGGTAAGGATTAAAAGGATTATCACTGCAAAATGCTTAAGCACACAGTAACTGGCAAATAGTCCATTAAATAGAAGATATGCTAATAATTAAGAATCTATATAGTATGAGGAAATTTTTAATGTACATAGTCTATGGATTGTTGGAATGTCTACTTCCTTTCTGTCTTGAGCAAAATCCTGTATTGTGTAACCATGCCTTCACTTTTATCATGTTAACATGTAAAGGCTTTCCTTTCAGAGAAATTCTCCAAATCCAATAGGGAACCTCAAAAGTAAGGAAAAGGGCTAGAAGAGACAGTACAAACCCATGAACTAGGATATCATTAAGAAACAATGTTTCTAGACCTACATTGGTTCCATTTGGGGAAAGTACTCTGGAACTGCGATTTTGAACTTTTTTCATCTCTTGGGACACATAAACTAATTATTAAAATTCTGTAGCACATCAAAAATATATTCTTTGCTGATCTGACAAAAAAAAAGTATAATTTTGATTTATTCATATGGAACCACTACTGTGTTGGCTGTTGTCATCTTTTTATCTGACAATCTAAGGTAAAAGAGGTCAGCGACCCTGACTAAAATCGTCGGGTACTGCATGTTGTAAAAATTCTTGCGGCATTGATTGAAAATTTCTGCTCTAGGAGACCGGCATATTGCTGCTTTCTATGGAGATGAAAATAGAACAGGATTTATATTTAATTTGGAAAACAGACTTTATTTACCACTATGTACTGCCAATTCCAGTAATAGGGAGAAAAAGTGAGGTGAAGACTTCTGGGCTGGCTGGCTGGGAAGCCTTTATTTTAAGATAATACTGCTCATCTGCACCCATTTGAGAGCTGTTTGTGATTTATTACAAAAGGAACATTTGAGAAAGTACCAATGGTATAAACTACCATATTTGGCAGCATTTTATTATAAAAGTCAATCAGTATGAGTCCATTAAAAACGCAGACCTATATTCAGGAAATCATGTTATCTTTCCCTAAATGCAGAATAGCAAAAGTAGAATAGTTATGTTCACTCTCCCAGTAAGAGATATAACATATTGGCCATGGTCTTGTGTTTCCTTTTGTGCCAATATGTTAATACAGAATTTAGATCTCAGTCCACAAATCACCAAAGGCTTGTCAATTTAAAATGCTAGTGGCATTTACATTTTGTAAGAGAATTTCTACATGTTAGGCTGTAATAAACAGACACCTGAGAAAAAAGGAGAACAAAGGAAAGCAGTTTTGTATTTCAAGGAGGAAAATTAGGTGGTATAATTTTTTTATGTTTCTTGGTAAAAGGTAATAAAAAATATATATACATAAGTTTTACTTTTATCTAATACTTCCTTCAATTTATTAATCATACAACCACGTAACAGTTCATTGCATTTATTCCCCTCTAAAATGAAGAAAGTGAAAGGTACAAAATACCTGTATTTTCTAAAATAATTTCTTTCCTTTTTTTTGAAACTTTAACCTTTAAAATTGTGAAATATATTATACAAACAGAAAGGACAGAAATATGAACAGCTGAGTGATTACTACAAACTGCACATTCCCGTTAACTATGACTCAGGTCAGGCAACAGAACACTGCCAGGACCCAGAACCCCTTCCACGGCCTCTCCCAGCCATCACTGCCCTGCCCGAAGGTAAGCACAGTCCTGTTTCATCATCATAACTTCAGTGCTTTTGTTTACATTCTTATCACTCAAACATGAATCCTAAATGCTATCATTTAGTTTTCCTGTTTTTTTTTTTTTTTAAACTTTACTATATAAATGCATTCATATAGTATATGAACAATTCTGGATGCTTTCTTGGTTCTGGATTTTCACTGAATATTATATTTTTGAAGTTCACTCATATTAGAGCTTGCAGCACTATTTCATTTCATGGATACACAGTATATTTTCCTCTACTGTGCATTCAGTCTACTCAATTTTATTTATTCACTATTGTTGACAGATACAAGTATCCTGTGTATCCTGAAAGTTCACATATGCCACCTCATTTTCATGAAAGACCTACGTAAGTACCTGCTTTAGCTAACCAAAAACATCCAAAGAGTATTTTCACTTTTATGAAAAAGGCAAAAAGCTAAAATAGTGTTTAGCATTTGTTTTTCAGCAGCCACTACAGAAGCAGCACGCACTGCAAGCAGAGACCCGCCAGGTCCCTTCCCTGGAACTGCACTCAGCCTCTCAGCACTGAGCTGCATCTGCTTTGAACTGTCTGTAAGCATCTGTATTGATTTATTTTGTGCATTCTTGCTTTTATTGTATGTCATTATTATATTAGATTTTGTTATTTGATATAATTTGGTAGGTTATTTTTGGGTCTGGGAACACTCAGAAGCGTTTCCATATAAATTGATGGTGATTGCTTCATTGCTTTTCACCACTTCAGCTTAACACTGGACCGCTCCACTTTCAGATAGTGGGAGAAACCTGTATTTGGGTTGTTTCTTGTTTTTAAATGTTATCAACAATGCTGTTACGAGTGTGTGTGTACAGACGTGTACATTTTTATTTGTGAAGTATTCAGGAGAAACTGCAGGGTTACATGTTGCAATTCACATTCCTACCAAAAGTGCGGAAGCATTCCCACTGCTCCATACCCTCCCCAGCACTCTTGGTACTGGCGATCACTTTAATTTTAGCCATTTACGGTCATGTGTTGTACTATTTTATTGTGGTTTTAAATTGTGTTTCCCTAATTACTAATGATGCTGGACACCTTTACATACATTCATTGCTCACCTGAAAAATCTCTGAAATGTCCATTTATGTCTCTTACCCATTTTTTTCTCTTTTTCCTACCGATTTGTAAGAATTCTTTAGATATTCCAGGTACGCACCTTATGTCACGCATGTGTGGCCTGTTTTTCACTCTCTTGATGATGGGATCTGATGATCAGAAGTTCTTCATTTGAAAGAAGTCCTATTTATTGATCCTTTCTATTAGGATTAATGTTTTTGGTTTGTTTGATGTCTTTCCTCATGTACCAAAGTCCTCATGGTATTTCTAGATGCTTTCCTATTTTACTTTTGACATTTAGAGCCACAAGCTACACAGAATTTATTTTTAGTAAGTTATGTTTTCTTTCTTTCCCATATGGATGAAGTAGACCTTTTCGTCATGTCCTCTGCCAACTGCCAGTTTAAAATCAAAAGCTCCTCTACCTTCTTGTTTCTATTTGAGCTATCTATTCTAACCCAGGGTCTATTTGACTATCATAAGCAAATAGCACAGTTTCAGTTTCATCGCTGTAGCCTCATAGTGAGTCTCAGTATCCCGCAGAGCAAGTCTTCCCACCTTACTAACCTTCCTCAGGTTATTGTGGTACATTATATTCCCATATAAATCAGATGGTTACTACATTGCAACTTAGGGCAATCTAGGGAGAAATGACATCTTAATTAGTTCTAATAATTCATTTGTAATTTTGAGGGGATTTGTATCAACACAATAATATCCCCAGTCAAAAATGACATTTACTTCTGATTATACCCAAAGGATTTTAAGTTTGTTGGCAAAATGTTTGAGACTGAGTGATAAGCACATTGAAAATAAAGCATTTTAGTTACTTTCAACTAAAGTAACAAAAGGTCATACTAGGAAAGAAAAATAATCACAGTAAACTATGTAATAGCACTTAAAATGGCCATGATACTGTAACAATGAACAATGATCTAACCAAAATTTCCATATAATTAGAGTGGGATGAGGGGAAGAAAAGGTACGTGTGAATGTAGAGGAAGGAGGTAAATTATTCTCTCTCACTGTGAAACTCAAAGTCCAAGTGAAACAAGAAGTAGGAGTAAAAATGTTATTTAGAAATACAGAAGTAAATTGCAGAACTACTTTGCTATAGTCACCCTTAAACAAAAGAGAATTCTGTGATATTCCTATATATCCTAGTTCCCAGAAACTTAAATATACACACTGAATTTCCATCATTGTAGTAAACATAATTTCTTACAGTAATTACATCAAAAAATTTCATACTATGTAAAGGAAATTATAAATAATTTTATTTCATTCCAATTCTATCAATGTAATGGCTGGATATTCAGATTTAGGCAATTGTGGGGGGGGCAGGAAAATGGGTAAACATTTTGCATCTCATAAAAACAGACAATATATGCCTATTTGTTAAAGTTTACACTCAGTTCAGCTATGCAAATGACAATGTCTTTATCTGTTATGTAAATGACAGAAACCTCAAAGATTAAACATATTGATTTTAAACAGGGTAGCATATGCTTTTGAATCAGATAAAAACAAGCAACTTTTCCCTATTAGGCTATCAGCAGATTTCTCAGCAGTAATGTGACATGCCAGGGGAGCGTGGAATGACATTCAACATAGTCAAAGATAAGAACTACCAGCTGCCAAGAATAACCTATCCAGCAGTAAATCTTAAGATATAAAGGAGAAATAGAAGCTTTCACTGATAAACAAAAACAAATCTTAAAAAAACTCTATGTACCTCAAAATTATCACTAAAGATCTTTTCAAGAAGTCATTTTTTAACATAGTGTGAAAAGTTTTAACTCTTTTAATATGTAAAGAAAATAGCAGCTTATGAATAAGTATTTTAACATCACTACATAACAATGTTTACCCCTAGAATAAGAAGCCATTTTTTAAAGAAACGCTTAACATTTATTTTAAAAAGTAACAAATGCTCACCTTAATGCACGACTGAGTTTCTCATAGTTCATTGTAGGCTTATTTTTACGTTGTCCCCATTTTTGTGCAACCAGTTCCGGCTGATTTAGCTTAAACTCGCCTTCATCACCAACCCATGAAATGCAGTCTCGAGCATCTTTGTCGGTAAGAAGTTCTAGCAAAAACTGCCACAGTTGAATTTGGCCATTGTTTCCTAAATTGACAGGGACAAGCATTGACCACAGCACTATGAATTAAGAGAAAGCAAATGGCAACAAATAGGTTCTCTGGTTCTTATCTCAGCCATGCTAAAAAGCACATGTTTTCTCAAATGCTGTCTAAGCACTGCCTGAGAAACAGGCCGTACTCACCTTTTCATATAGGAAAATAAAACAAAGCATATATAATTTGACAAATTTTATCTGGTGATGATAATGTAACAATACCTGTTCTGTTCCCAGGTGAACTTCTATCTTCTCCTGAAATCCTGGGAGCTCTTTGTACTTTGGCTGCCTTTGCACTACTGTTTATACCTTTAATGGTGGTGGGTGTAGCAGACTGGACTGATGCTGGAATAATCTGGACAGCTGCAGAGAAAGACAAAGGAAAAAACTGTTTTCTCTTCTAACACAAGCAGTGAAAAAAAACGACAGAAAGACACAAAATGCAGTTAGTTTAACTAATGCCCCTCTAATCACCTCCGCAAAAGGCGTTATTTCAAAAATGCCTTGATCCACAATAGTTTTGAACGAAATTACAAAAAAGTTTCAAGCATAAGTCACGATGTTTGTTCATGAATCTCAGCTTAGTGAATAAGAGTTGGACTTACCTTTGAAATAACTTCGTGGTGTATATACAGATACAAAATATTTGATCATTAAAAATGGTTTATCAAGTGTTGGGAAAATGTGGACAAATGTGACCTCACATTCCACTACTGACGAGCATACAAACTTATACCACTTTGAGAAAAAAACTTTGATATTACCTAGTAAGGTTAAAAAGGTAGATACCTTATGATACTACAAGCAGAGAACTTCATATACATTCTGACAAATACTTAATTCAATGATGTTCACCAAGTTTTAATATACAGCAGTAAAAGTGAATGAAATCGAACTGCAAGTATCAATATGGGTGGGTCTCATAACTTAAACAAAAATGCAAGTTATACAAGGGTATGCATAGTATATTACCATTTTACCCAAAACGTTTAAACATGCAAAACAAAACTATAAAATATTTATGGTTGCATAGTTGGAAAAAAAAACCAAAATATGCATAGAATAACAGGAAATATCTAATTCAGGATAGTCATTTAGAATGGGATCTACAACAGGTAAACTTAATATATAAATATTTATTTTCTTTATAGTGCATGGTGTTATGCTATATACAGATGTTGGTTATAGTTTATTATTTCTTTGTATATCTAAAATACTTAATATTTAAAAATGAGTTTTTCTTTTTTACTGCCTTGTAGTACTGAATAGAGGGAACATTTCTTATTGATAAGTGGACCATATATTATGGATAGGAATACTCACGTTGATCAATCGTAACTATCTCATTCATCTGTTGTTCTTGGCTTGCCAATACATCTGAAGAACACACACAAAAATTTTAGGTTTCATTTAAAACCAGAAATGCAAACCCCAATCCAGTAAAACTGAACTTAATAAACATGATTCTTTTAAAAGAAATTACAACCAAACCACAATTACACAATTACAACCAAAACTAACCAAACAAAAGAAACAAAACATCAAACAATTAAAACTTATTGGCATGATAACTTTAACAAATATTTGAGTCATTTTATAACAAACATTTTTAAGAGAAATAAGAGGGAAAACCGCAATTTCTTTTAGAGTTCATTATACAGAGAACCATGGTTTTCTAAATATAAGTATCTATAACCAAATCTATTTATCTATCTATAGAAAACCATGTGAAACATGAAAAAAGATCAGAAATAAGAATATATACCACACAAAAGTTATTTAAATATACATTCTTTACCAAAAGGCTCCCTCAAAATGATCTACAAAATCATAATCTAATAATCTGTTCTAAAAGCTATTTTTAAATACACTTTTAACTTGACAATGCTTCTTAAAGGTGGCTGAATTTTCCATAAAACTTGTCTTAAATGTCACAAATCAATCAGATTATTTAACATTCTATATATACAGCTCCCAAACCTAAGACTTACACTGTGAAAGGCTCTAATATAATCCTTTGAAGAACCATTCATTACTCACCTATTGCTATTCTTTACCTCTCAAATAAGAGGTACACTTCCCAGCCTTGACTACTTTAGCCTATTTACTGCCCATTATTGCCAGGAGGCGTCTTAAAATTGAAATTGTACCAACCAACAATCATCTGTTTATTGAGTGAGTCCTGGGACCTGGGTTCCTAACACAGTTCTACTTGGGATACCATGCCAGGATCCCATTCTTGACACACAGAGCTGGAAAGGGCTAGAGAACTAAAAGTCTGAATCCTACTTGTCAGATGGGAGGTTTCTTTGGGGGTTCTGAGTTTGTGGGTTTAAACAATCATATGAAACTAGCCTCCAATAGATCTGGGTTCTGATCTGAGCATTCACTTACTGCCTATGTGACTTTGGTTTATCCAACCAACCCAAACTTTAAGTTCCTCATGTTTAAATGGGGTATAGCCCTAACTACCACCTCATGAGGTTGTCCTTAGGAGTAAAGGAAAATGCTTTTAAGAAGCACAGCGCCTGAAACATAGTTCAGTAAACTGAAGATGCTAATGTTTTATCTAGATTCCTAGTTCTGAGAATTCTCCCCAAGAACTGCTGTCTCCCTTGAAGAAAAATCTATGCTTTAAGTTTGTGGCAGATTTTCCCCTGAACATTTTATGAAAGTACCTTGAAGAGGCTAAGTGCTATTGAAATTGAAATTGTTCCATGTGTGAATATAAATGGAGAGAGGAGCCCTAGCCTAAAAAGAGGCAAAAGAGAGTCACCGTCACATAGCACAGACATGACCAACCTATAAGATTAGCTTCTAAGTCCTGATTCTCAGAGTTTTGTCTGTTTCCCAGGAACTCTCAAAATAGAAGGCAAAACAAGGAAAGACAGGGGTTTTTGAAAGCTTGGCATAAGACCATATAGGAACTCTAAATATTATATTCCTCTGTGATTTGCACCATTAATACAGAGATTAAATAAGATAATACACATAAAACTTTTAGCACAGCCTTACAGTTAATAAACGTTAAATATTATTATCAACAAGCAATTACAATAACAAAGTTATAAAGAAATAAAATTAAACTTAAGTTACAATGTAAATAGATAATAACTCCAATTTATACATTTTCGAAGAAGCTCCAGATGACTCCAGAGAATTTCTCCCCGAGGGACCCGCTGAAAAAAGTCTTCCTGGTTGAGACTACACAATTCTCGTCCTGAAATGTTGAGTGTGCCGAGGTCTATATCAGTCATGCTGAATTCCTTCATTACCCAAACTACCCAATGCAAGACTTGGTCTGTAGACCACTGTATAGGATCTAAAAAGAAAAATACTACCATTAGCCTAGTTCCTTCTTAGATTTTATAGACATTTATAGTTAACTTGTACACACACACACACACACACACAATCCGAACAGCTTTTTCCCCCCAAGTAGGTCAAGTAAGCTCAGTATAAAAAGTAAAAAGATTTTTATGTTACATTTTCACTCTAGCTCTTTTTTAATTTCTTAATCTAAATTTTTGATGTATTCATATGGTTGTATATCAGTTAGTCTGAAATTTTCTCAAGAAAAACAAAATGCAAAATTGCTCTTCAGTGGGCCGAGTGAAATGAAATATGTGATTACCCTAGAAGAAGTTATCCAAGTTTAAAAATTTATCTGGTGGCGATGTATGACTTGGTGACTGAAAAAAACAAAAACAAAAACAAAAACAAAGGAGTTTTAGGGGCCTAGGCTTATTATCGAAAATGCGAACAATGTAGTCACTCCTTTTTGCTTGTTATAAAAAGCCAGTTGCTCCTGCATTTATCCTTACCATACAACATGCTAATTGCCTGTTTACTTAACTGTCTTCCTCTATAATAATTAAGGTCTTAAAACAAGGACTGTGTCTTGTAAACCATTCTATCTTTAAAATTTGCCTTGTGCATACATTGGTTGAATCTACAAAAGGTGAATCCAAATAATTTCATTTCCCTGTCATTTTTTACTAATTAAATTCACAAATGAAAAAACTGGCCAACACATATAAATATTTCATTGTTGTATTCCTGACCTAACAGGCCTAATAGAACATTCTACCCATAGAACTTTAGTAAATACTATTTGAATTAATTTTTGTATAGCTATTGATGCATGGAGGTGATCTATCCAAATAATACTGGTTATATGCCATCAAGATGCATGTTATTCAATAAGAAAATAGGTGGGAAAAATAACATTTAGGTACTTAATCAGGAGCCAATATATAGTAAAATCAATCAATAAGGATACAGGACTAAAAGCCACAAAATTGATTTTTTTATTTGATGTTTTCACAAAGAAGTTAGAGAAAGATTCTGAGAAGATGGCAGCGAAGTTTAAATATTTTTCTGAGTTAAAAAAAATCACTAAAATCAACTATAGGGCAAAACCAAAAATCCATTAATATTTCCAATAAAAACAAGATATCCCCATGGACCCCACAATATATGCAGGTGAAGATAAAGCAGTCACAGCCACAAGATCTCCACAGTATCAGCATCTGTGCAGGAGAACACACAGGGGGACCAAGAGCCATCTGACACATTACCCGCTGTGAGCACGGGAAACCTGAACACAGGCAAAAAGTTATCTATTAAAAGCACAGCAGGCCAAAGTGAAAGGAGCAGCTCAAAGTAGTTTTACCCAACCCAACAGCAGCTGAATACAAATTTAAGGGGCTGGAGCAGTGTAAGCGCCTGTGAGTATTTCAAACTGAGCCAAAATCACTTCTAGAGAGTCGACCACAATGAGGAGAAACTGGTGGGAGTGGAATTGAAATTGAGTAGCATAGGAACACCAAGGAAAGGGAAAGAGCGGGTCCAGGTAAAAGTGGAGTATGGGAACATACAGGAACTGAGAAAGCAAGTAGCTCTGTTTTGACTACTATTTGAAAACAAGAGAAAAAGGAGTGTGGGTGGTTAGAAAAACTATGCAGAACCACACTTCCCCTTAAAAGTCCAAGAAAGCTCATTTTATGTAAACATAAACAAAAAAGTAGCAAATTAAAGAAGTTAGAAGAAAACAGAAATAGCCTGATTTGTTTTAGGACTTCTGGTTTAATATTACTAATTGGTCATGCATGTTCTCCTTGTCTTTTCTCTAAGACTCCAGTAAAATGATAGTAAAGTCATTTTTAAGAGATGTAAACACACAGGAATATAAGTAGAAAATGTCAGAAATGATTTGGGAGATTTCCATACATTTTTTGAAGATAATAAGCAGAATGAAAATCCAGCAGAGTAGGAAAAGTTATAACCTAAAAGATCTATCAAGGAGGATACCAATGAGAAATAAAAGTACTCCTGCCTACAGAACCCCCTTACTTTACTGGCTTTGGCCAGGCACAGGAGAGGCTGAAGGGGAAAATGTGGAGATTGATATAAAGTACAAAGTGTGTTTAGAGCCCTGAGGGCCTCGCCTTCATTCTCGGGAGCCGCCTGAACGAATGTAACCCGTGGACACCAGGAACACTTTAGATCAGTGAGAGACACAAAGCAGATACTGCGAGGGCTGATCTCAGTAGGAAAAGTCTAAACACTAGAGAGGGAGACCCTCCCCGCCTCCCTACTTTCACATCCCTTTCCACTTCCGGAAGGCAGCATTCACTCATGCAGAACACCCCACGTCCTCACGTCAGCCTTCTACTCCTGACAGGTGTTTGGCCAATTCTCCAGGTAAGTTGAAAAGACCCAAGAAATAGATATATACATGACACTTGAAATCTTTTAATGAAAGAACCAATATTCCGACTATACCAGTGTGTGGTCAGCAAATGCATTCCAGAACTTCAGACTAATTAGCTTTAAAGTCATTCCCTTTTAAATATGAAGAGACAGTCAAGAATAATGATATTTGAGATTAAAATCAAACCATTAGACAGGAAAATAGAAAAACAGAAACAGGAGGAACAGAAATAATGTAATAGAAAACTGAAAAAAAAAAAACCCCACAAAAAACCCCCAACTACCCACCCCCCAATTATAACCAATATCCTCAGAGAGGTAAGAGAAAACATGTATCTATAATGTAAGATCAGAAAGCCATGGAGAAGCAACAACCAAAAATAAAGAGCCTTTATTAAGTGAAAATAAAAATCAGACAGGTTGTAAATAAAGATAAAAAAAATTGACAGAAGGCAGTACAAATAGATATGAAGTTGAAAATGGAAGAAAACAGAGACAGAGTATCAACCCAGGAGATTCAACAGGAGTTCTAGAAAAAGAGCAGAGAAACACAGGGTAATTATCAAAATGATACTGCAGAAAAATTTTCCAGAACTGAAGAGATTGTCTAGATTGGCACTGTCGAACAGGAATATAATGCAGGTCACTATATAATTTTTAAAATTTCTAGTAGCTACATTAAAACAAAATGAAAAAACAGATGAAATTTACTGCAATAATTTCATTTAACTTAATACATCCAAATGTTATCATTTCAACATGTAATCAATATAACAAATTAAAAAGATTTTACATTCTTCCCTTTTTTGTACTGGGCATTTTACACTTATGGCGCTTTCAATTCAGACCAGGCCCATTTTGAGTGCTCACATGAGACTCGTGGCTACTCCTTCGGGCAATACAGGACAGGCTGAAACTGGGGCCGTGGGCACACAATGCAGAGTTGTACACTTGAAACCTATACCGTTCTGCGAACCAATGTCACCCCAATAAATTCAATTAAAAAAAATCTAACTAAAACACAAGTCAACTTTGAACTTTAGAAAAACTAAAACTGTAAATGTAATCATGGTCATACAAGAAATAAATCAATTCTCTAATGCACATAATGACTAATGACAAAAATTATGTTAATGATATTAACAAAATGGGGAAATATAAGGTTTTGTTTTGCAGGGGATATAAGTATAAGAGAACTAAACCTCACCTACTCTAACAAGAAGTTAATAGTAGTGAGGAGTAGTAAAGGGAAATGTGGTTGATACTAGGGAGCAAAAATGAAGAAAGAAAAGCCATGTTAGAGAACAATTGTTTTTCTTAAGACTTTGTTTTAACCAGACTGGAAAAATATATAATGAATGGCAGACCTTTCCCATGGGGCAGGGAGTGGGTGGAGCTATGGAACTAGAAAGACACTTAGATCCAAACCAACTATGTAATTGTTTATTTTCCAAGAATATGTATCATACTTTTAAATGTTAGTATTTCACAACTCTGGGAACCAAAAACATGAGTATATGCCTTATTAATTACTCAAAGAACTGGAAAAAATAATCTCAGCATATTCATCTTTTCAATATTCTTTTTTAATGAAGAACAAGAATATATTTACTCTAATTTTACTTTTAGTCAATTTTAAATTCCTCATAGCTCAACTTGACCAGACTTCTACTATGCTTTCATTAGTTTCTTCAGTTATTCAATGTAAAATAGTAAAAAAAAAATTAAAATTAAAGTTCTGAAAAATGTACAGGTAAAGGAAAAAATATGTATGAGTATATATAAATATATATGAATATGTCAAGAGGTGGCTCTAAGCTCCTCTCAAGATATCAAACTGATGTGTGTAAAATGAACTTTAAAAAATTTTCCAATGTGGACCAGTATTTCAAAGAGATTTAAAGTAGCTATGACCAATTAACCACATTTAAATTTTGCACAGAATCAAGCAAGTAGAAAAAAAATTACCCTTTGGTACAGAGTAGAAACCTGAAACAATAATTTCCAATGAAAGTATTAATCATTTCTAAGACTTTCTGGAAGGTAACAATTTCATTAGAAAAATTACAAATGATATTTTAAAGTCTCTCTATACCTAAATAAGCCTCAAATGTCTTAAAAGAGCTTCATTCTAAGTAAATAATATTCTTTGTAAGAACTTAGAGTCAGAATTTATAATCTGGCTATCTACAATTCATTTTTATACATTACTTTCTATAAAAGATTCTATTATCGAAGAGTTCTTACTGATAGCAAACTCTAGAAAACATCATTTCAAATGTTTTTACACTACCTCCTTTTCTTCTTAGCATTCTCCTCTTAAGAGATGACTCCCAACTTACTAAGGTCAAGTACACCATTCATACTAGCTTCAGATGTCTATAATAACCTAATAGTTTTATCCTATCTCTGAGGAAAGGTTAGATCTCATCCTTCAAATTAAGTTTTTTATGTTGTTGTGCTTCAATTAATGACCCTGCTCCTTCCTTCCTTATTTAATCTCACCCCCTGCTAGTTCCCATACCATGTATCTACAAAGACACTCAAGTCACCACCAACTCTTGAATGTTCAATATTATTTATTTATTCCCCCAGCACTCTTCCGACTTGCCCCACCCCCAAAAGTTAATATTCAATTTTCTCCATTTCTTTAATTTTTATTTCTATTAGGTCAGCTTTGTCTCCACCTCTATAAGTTTCTTTTATCTAAATCTACCAATGAGCCTCTGATCACCAAATTTAGTCCTATTACTCAGTTGGCATTCTTCGACTTTCTCAGTGGCTTTGAGACTTTTAACCATCTAAAACTCTTTCTCAGTTTCAGTAACACTACATATAGTTCTTATTTTCATTCTATCTCTTCAGTTATTCCATGTCTCCTTTTTCCTAAACTGTAATAATTGACAAGGTACAGGAACCAGTCTTTAATGTTGTGTTCTTTTCCATTTTTTTCTGTCTCTCTCAGAGACTGCATATACTTTTAAGGCTTCAATACAAATTCAATGTGACTGAGTCCCAGACAACCTCTTTAATCCAGTCCAAATCTTGTGCACCGAAACTACTTTCTGGCTGCCTCCAGTTCAATATGTACTATTACTTCAAAATCACACACTATCAACACTTTTCCTTAAAAATCCAATACCAGACTTCCCTACCAACCAGACACTAAGCTCTGGAAGGCATGGACTGACTTTACTGCGCACCATCAAAAGCCTAGCATTTAACACAGTGCCTGGCATATGTAGTTCACAAAATACGTAATGATGATGCAACCATCATTACGTTAGGACTATAGTACTTACCAGTATTATAGTCCTAACACCAAGATTGCAAAGTCACATCAACATTTGAATTTTACCTTTCAACCCTCGTACAGTCTCATCAGTCAGCTGCTTAGTCCTATCACTACTTTGATCCCTCTCCTCCTTTCTATACCCACAGAAATTACCTAATCTAGACTAACCTAGATACAGTCACCTAGTCACACTTAAACTATAATAATAATGTCTTCCTTTCACTTTCTCTACCTGTTCCCACTTACATCATACACCACTTACATCATATATTCATTTTCAACTGTCACTTCCATCAATCAGAAACAGTTGTATAACGCTACAAAATAACTTCCACCCACGACATGTCCCCACTGCCCGAGCATACTCCTCCTTCCCAGTTTCATACATGCTTTTCCTGTCAGGAATGTCCTCTGCCCAATAATCTCTTTGTCTACAACAAACCGTTTCCCCACTCCCCCCAGGCCACTATGACCTATCTGAGATGCTCACAGCATGTTTCCTATAGACGAGTTACTGACAGCTTAGAAACATGTTACCATTATGGCACTTACCTCTTTTTATCTACCTTCTCTCTCTTCAACTACACTGTGAATACCCTTAGAATAGAAAAAATTTTAATACAATTGTATGCTGTATAATGACGTCTCGGTCAACCGTGGACTGCACTTATGACAGTGGTCCCGTAAGGTTATATGAAGCTGAAAAATTCCCACCACATAGAGATACTGTAACCACCGCAACATGGTAGTGCAAAGATTGCAAAAACCAACAGGCTGTGGTTGAGATGGCAGACAACTTAACCTGGCTGTGGAAGGAGGACACGGAAGAGCTCCTAGAGCTGGTTCCTGAGGAACTAACAAAGAATTGTTCGAACTGGAAGGAGGAACACACAGCTATAGAAAAGGCAAGAGAAAAGGAAACTGCAGAAGAAAAAGAACCCCCAAGAAAACAGACAGTGAAGTGTTTAGCAGAAGCTTTTGCAGACTTCAACAAACTCCTTAAAATATCTGAAAACATGGACTCCAACACTGAAAGGTTTTTCATGAACAGAGAAGAATGTTCATGTGCGCTATCTGCTTACAAACAAATCTATGATAAAAACCACCACCCAAAAAACAAGCCAACCACTGTGGACATTATTTCTAAAAAGAGTGACACCTCTTCAAAGGAGTCTCAGGCAGGCCCTTCAGGAGCTCTCCCAGAAGAAGGCATGGCTGTCGCAGGGGACACCAGCGGCCTGTGTGTTACTCACTGCCCGAAGACCCCCGCCCCCAGCCAGCGGGACGAAACGTGGAGGCCGAAGGCAGTGCTTGGACAACTCTGACTCTTGTAGGCCTAGGGTAATGTATGTGTCTGTCCTAAAGTTTAGTTTCTAACAAAAGTTTAAAGAGTAAACACAACAGCAACAAAAAATTTGAAAAGCTTGTAGAATAAAGGTCTAAAGAAAATATTTTTGTACAGCTGTATGATGTATTTTTGTTTTAAGCTAAGTGCTATTACAAAAGGTTAAAGTTTAAAAAATTAGAAGTTTATAAAATAAGAGATACAGTAAGCTAAGGGTATTTTGAGAAAATAAAATTGTTTTGATAAATTTAGTGTATTGCAAGTGTACAGTGATCCCAAAGTTTACAGCAATGTACAGTAACTTCCTAGGCCTTCACATTCATTCAACACTCACTCACTGGCTCACCCAGATGACCTTTCTGTCCTACAAACTCCCTTCACGGTTAAGTGCTCTGTACAGGTAGACCATTTTTATCTTGTATACAAATTTTTACTGTACCTTTTGTATGTTTAGGTATGTTTATATAAACACATACTTACCACTATATTACAATTGCCTACAGTATTCAGTACAGTAAAATGACATACAGGTTTGTAGCCTAGGAGCAACAGACTATGCCATATAGTCTAGGTGTGTAGCAGGCCACACCACATAGGTTTGGGTATGTGTGCTCTATGTCTGCACAATGACAAAATTGCCTAACAACGCATTTCTAAGAACATCTCGATCATTAAGTGAAATACAATTTTATTTCTTTGTATTCCTACTATGCAGGGCAGTAATTTGTCCATCATGTGTTATGGTAAAAAAAAAAAAAGGAACTCTTCCTAAAAATTCTACATTAAAACAGATTATACCTTACCCTATTATCTTGCATGTCAAGCTTAATTCTTATTTTCTCCCTAGCACGTAATCATGTATTTCTTACCATAGGGTATCCCAAGGCGTTCTTGCTCTTTCCTGTAACCTTCCAGCGCGGCAGCCCATCTTGTCACTTGTTCCGAGGTTTCATCTGAAATGGTTGTAATGTGTTTTGTGCCATCAAGAGTTATCACTTGAGCTTCCTCAACAAGATGTGCTTCTGCTTCAGCATGGTGAGCATCTGGATCAATAACTACTTCAACTGTTTCCGCAGGTTTGACAATTTCAAGGATGTTGAGCTTTGGTTCAATTCCTTAACAGTGAATTAAAGAAAAATTGTAAATGAAAACACAAAAGTCACTAACAAAATTTAGTTTAGTTTATATGTTCTCAAATTATAGAGCAAAACTTCATTTTAAATATGTTTAGCAATATATCTAGCAAATTTAACAGATTCCTACTAAATGATTAAAAACAATTCCATAGAACTTTGGTGGATAACAGTATTATGTCAATTAATTATTTCCTGATTTTGATAACCGTACTGTGATCATGTAAAAGAGTTCGTTTTTAGAAAACACACACATTGATGCATTTAGAAATGGAAGGGGATCTGTCTGCAACTTATTGGTAAACAGGTCAAAAAAAATAATTAAGCTGAAAAATTCCTATCACGTAGAGATACTGTAACCACCGCAACATGGTAGTGCAAAGATTGCAAAAACCAACAGGCTGTGGTTGAGATGGCAGACAACTTAACCTGGCTGTGGAAGGAGGACACGGAAGAGCTCCGTGGGGGGGGGACAAGGACAAGACTAAACCAACATCCTTTGCAAATTCCTCTTTTTGTGCTCAACTGCTGAGACTAGATCTCCTTGCAGTGATGGTTCCCCATGTGACATGGGCCCCAGCAACACCAGCATGAGCCTGCTGCTGAGAAACGAGTTAAGAGGGGATAAGCAGGCACATGGCACCCATCTTTCGGCCCCTATGGACCACTGAAGAGGCTGCATGGTCCTAGATAGCAGGGGGTCCGGCGCTGCAGTCGGGCTGAGGCGTTCTTGGAAAGCCGGTCAGAACCTGTTCTTCCAGCCCTCTCTCTGAGCCTCTTATTTACTGCCCTACAGTATATCCCTTCCTGATTAAACCAGGTAGAATACGTTACACAACCTGCTTCATCTTGACAGATGAAATAATTAAATTTAAAGCATGAATGTTTGGCTATACTATCACAGTAAGGAATTTAGACAACCATCTAAAAGACCCAAAACTTATAAAAATTGGGTTGTCATATTAGAAAAACGTGAGTTTTAAATAACTACACTAAAATTAACTTACCTTGGTAAGAAATTACCTGTACACTAAGCTGTACAGTTCCATCTGTCTTTACTCCTTGGTCAAATAAACTTCGTTCTGGATCCAGCTAAACATGGTTAAAATGAGTAACATTATTTTTACATAATCATCTGGTTTAACAAAAATGATGTACCAAGTGGACTTAATTAGTGAGGCATACTAATTAAATTATAAGAGCACACTTAATTATGTAAGCTGTCATATCATTTAATTCTCTGCCAAAATTTAAAATATTTTAACCAATGTGTTAGTAATTAAGGACAAAATAAAGAACAGAACTTATTTTAAAGGGAAGTTTTCTCTAGCTCTGGAGTCTAGTTTAGGATTTTAAATAATGCCAAAAAGGCAACTATTTATTCTGTGAAAGTATTTAAAATAGAAATAATGCAATTTATCTGTCATGAAAAAGCAAGGGTATTTAATTAGTGGGGACAATTGAAATAAATTTATTAATATAATATTTGCCATATCTCCCTGGTAACCAATGACACATATTTAAGATCACAGTTAATGCTAAATCTCTGATCACAAAATTAATAAGGAACTAATGACTTCCCTACCTGACCTAGATATGAACATCTTTAATCATAATCCTATATCCTTTAAATCAGTGCTTTTCCCCCTTCCCATCGCTTTATAGTGAATGCATTTCACACAATGACAAAAATTGATGACAAAAAGTAATTCTGACTTTCAGATATTTTCCGTCATTAGTTTAAAAATAGGCTTCCACTATAATTACCTTGAATAATGAATAGCTCTGTGTGTCTGTATGCCATACATCTGGAGGTACAAAGCTCCCCGACTCTCCTTCCCAAGAGTTTGGTCAATACTGAAGTTGTTGTACAAACAGACTTTCTAATATTAGAAATGTCATATATATAAAGCCTAAAACCATATGTGACTATACATCTAACTTAATCAGGGACAAGACAAACTGTGTACCCCTACAGACAGGTTAAACTTGGCACTTTCACTCAATATAACAGTCTCTGCCTGACACTTCATTGAAAATTCTCCTAATATCAAGATTTCTCCCCTCTCTGGTAGACACTGATATTATCCACTAGAAGCGATGGCATGTGAAACTCTGAAACTGAGCTCTCAGGTACTGAATACACTAATTATTAGTTCAGTAAGCCTGCCACAAGGACAAAACTCAAGCATGCTATTTGACCTTGGATAACACTCCTGAAACAATGCAACTCAGCTGTTCCACCAGCTTTTGAGTCAACAATCACCTGAAAAAGCATTACCACAAGCAGCACACATTCTGACTTCAAACGTCTATTTGCATTAATTGACATGGAGAACAGAAGTTTCTATCCATAATCTTTTTCAGAGGACATGGGTTAAGGAAGATTGAAAAATGCCTTAGATCCAAGGCTAGCTCTAAATTCTATGATACACTGAATTATGCATATTTCCATTTAATCAACTAACATTTATTGAAAATCTATGATAGGTTGGGTAGTTTGCAGGTCATATTTTCAATTTGGTCAGACCAAGTGTTATAAAAGAAGAAGCAACAAATGTTAAAACTGAAAGACAAGATATCAAGTTGGATTCCTCTTTATCTTACATATGAGAAAGATTATGTAAGTGACATTGAGTTATTCAATACAAACTTTCTTAAACGTCTGCCTCAAACAATGGAAGTATTTTACAGTCACAGAGGCCTGGGTTCAAATTCCACTACACTCCTGTTTAGCAGCTAAACATTGGGAAACTATTTAACATTTTAAAATCTCAGATCCTGTATCTGCAGAGTATGATTAAGAATATGCTGACACAGACTGATGTGAAGATTAAGTAAGATAGTTTAGGAGTTCTGTAGTTATTTTTTTCATTCAATGTAAAGTGCCCAATAGCTCTAGTTCACCAATTGTTTTTTAGATTTTATTTATTATTATTTTTTACAAGATTTTATTTCTTTATTTTTAGAGGGGAAGAGAGGGAGAGAACATGAATGTATGGTTGCCTCTCACTCGCCCCCTACTGGGGACCTGGCCCACAACCCACACATGTGCCCTGTCTGGGTATCGAATGAGTGACCCCTTGCTTTGCAGGCTGGCACTCAGTCTACTGAGCTACATCAGCCAGGGCTAGATTTTATGTATTGTTTAGAGAGGGGAAGAGAGGAAGAAAAGGAGGAGAAACATTACTGGGCTACTTCCTGCACTCCCCCAACTCGGGGACCTGGCCCACAACCAGGGATATGCCCTGATGGGAATAAAACCGGTAACCTTTTGGTTTGCAAGTTAGTGCTCAAGCCACCGAGCCACACCAGCTTGTGCTAGTTCACCGATTTTTATTGTCTGCCTTGAATTCCAATTTATAGCACCTATTTAATTCCCTGTTTTTCGAACATTTGAGTTATTTTCAATGTCTGCATAATGCAATGAACATCTCATATGTACACCTCTGCTCACACAGGTGAGCATTTCAACTTATTGTACATGAAAATCTTGTTTCAAAATAGTAGGCATATGATTTTAATTTTTAAAAAATGAAAGCAAAAGTTCTATAACGTATGTGAGGAGAAAAGTAAAAAATAAGATAAACCAAACAATCTAAAAGATGGCACAAGGTCCATTAGTGTAAGTTAGCATTAAAAACAGTATAGGAGAAAATAGGGGAAATCTGTAATAGTATCAACAATAAATAATGATAATTAAAAAGTAAAAACAGTATAAAACTCTAGCATATGATCAAGGAAAGTCTGGAGAAACTATGTGAGTAATCCTACCTAGGCTACTACCTTTTTACATTAAAATATACTGCAAACAAAATATATTGCTATACTACTACCGCTGGTAAAATCCTATTGCAATGAACGCCAAGAAATGCAAACACTGGAATGAATTCTTGTCCAAAACTTACTGCTGAAAGGTAATGTAAAAATAATTTGATAAAATTATCTCATTTTAAAGATGAGAAAAATAATGCATAAAGAAATTAAAAGCTAGTTATAAATGGGGTGAGGAGTAAACACTTCTTCAGCTTCCAAAATCAGTGTGCTTCCCACTAGTCTGTTTAGCTCTAATTCAAATTTAAACTTCCCATTTTATATTTGTGAAAGTAAAAAAGTGTTTGATTTAGTATTCATTTTTTTAAATATAATTTTAAATGAAGAAAATTTTGCCAAAAGATGTCTATGTCTAATTGCTTAAATAGAATACAGATCAAATATAGTTATAGATAACTATACTGCTTTAGGGGAAGCCAGTTACCACGTCATGGGCAGCCCTACAGAGAAGCCCATGCAGTGAAGCAGCGAACAGTCCCGCCACCAGCATCACGATTGATCTTGGAAACGGATATGCCAGCCCCAGTCAGCTCTTCAGATGAGCATGGCCCAGACTGACAACTATAGAGACTAAAGGTCAACAACAACAAACATACTTCTAATGCAGACTTAAATGATAAAATAGAAATCTCAAAAAAATAGGTTACCTGGATATCTTGTAGGCAAATTTCATGAGCATCCAAAGAGCACTGTAGTCTTGGTTCTAGTAGTTTCTTTAAATTACCTATAGGCTCATTGATGTCTATGGCCTGGCTTACACATTCAGCTGGGGTGTAGGTTTGTTCTACAATGCTAAATGTTAAAGGACATAATGGTTAACAATTACATTTTTACCCTGAAAAGTAAAGTAACAATATGCTCAAACCAAAAATGAATACCAGAACATATTTCTGGTCTTTGAAACTCATTTCTGCAGGGACACACCATTCATAGGGGTAGTGATCGACTCATTAACAAGTAGTGTTGCCGAACTGCACTCCGAATTGCACAAGGAAGTGCGAGCTTGAAATTTAAAGCGCCCTTGCAAATCTCCCACCCCATATATAAATATATACACATATATAGTCAATTTCCCTTCCCAGCATAAATACAATCGAATGAAAGTAAGTTCTAAGATATGAAAATACAAGTTATAAAATATCTTCCCCTTATTTTAATCCGAAAACCACTGGTTATAATCAGCACAGTTCCACATTAAAAAAAAATTCTTCCTTTAAAACTCTCCTAGGGATCTTTTGCATTGTTATTTCATACTTCATTCTATGGAACTGCAAATTCATTAAAGGTAAAATCTTGGGTAAATAATTCTACATATCTTTGGCAAATCTTTATTTGGGGCCAAATAGAAGAGAGACACCAAGTAATATCTGTTGAACTGGTAAATCTGGAATTCGAGTTTCACAACATGTTTCATTTAAACATGATTTAAACCTCACTGATAGTTGTCAAAAACAGTATGTACTTAACAATTTGTCAAGTTCCATTTTCAAATAAATTTCTAGTATAATGTGATATATATGACATTCAATGACTATATATTGCCTAAATTCCTTCCAAAACTTCTAAAATTTATAAAATAGACCACTCATGATTGAAAACACATTATTTTTAAATCAATGTAAACTATTAGTATTATTAGTTAGGATAAAATAATTGGGTCTTCTGGCTTTTTTTTTTTTTTTAATTCTTCAGCTGTAGCCCCATGGTCTTTATTTTTCCGCTTTTGTAACAATGATTCTTTTTAAAAATTAGGTGACACTTTTTTACATAAGCTCAACATTTAAAACATTTGAAAATATTTTGTGGCCAGCATTTAAACCTTGGGAGACTGAATGCAAAAATCTGAATTACCAGTTTCTCTTGAAAAAATCTGGATGATCATATCAGCGGACCTAAATTCCTATACAGCAACAATCTGCTACAGCTGGGTAGCTGCTCCCTTTCCACAGCTACTCCCCAGGTCAACACAGTAACTACCAGTCTCTTACTGGAGACAGGCGATATCAGCCAAGTTTTTCTATAAAGGGCCAAACAGTACAAACTTCAGGCTCTGTGAACCATTGTGTGTGTGTGTGTAAAAATAAATGTATGTATGTCAGGCTTCAGGAAGCCCAAATAATCCTCACCTCCTAATACTCATACCCTTTTAGAGTTCCCTCCACATTCTACCAAGGCTGGACTGCGTGACCAAAAGACTAAGACAGAAGTGATGTACTGCTCCTTAAATTAGGTTACGTAGAACAACACTGTGGCTTCCATCCTGGTGAGCATGCTCTCTTAAGGCACTTGCTTTAGGGGGGGAAGTCAGCTGCCATGTCATGGGCAGTCCTACAGAGAAGCCCATGCGGTGAAGCAGCGAACAGTTCTGCCGCCAGGATCACGAGTGATCTTGGAAACGGATATGCCAGCCCCAGTCAGCTCTTCAGATGAGTATGGCCCAGACTGACTGCTTAACTGCAAGCTCATGGAATACCCTGAGCCAGAACTAAGTTCTGGGGGGAGGGAAGAGGGAAGGGGGGAGGGGGAAAATATACATACACATAGGAAAATTAAAGAGATACAGTCCCTATTGTTTCTTCTGCTGGAGAAAATAGCATAGTCAAACATACTGAAACCCTCCATTAAATATTTAAGGTCTCTGGAGCAGTCATGATCTTTTCTGTCAGGAAAATATTCCTGTGCCAGGGCATGGGGACAGTGGACAGAATTGAGGACAACTAAAATGGGGTTTGTCTTATCAGACAGAGCCAGCCCTCTCCTCTGAGAAGGGGAGGTGGCCTGAGTAACCACATCCTGCTGGCAGAAAATATGGGGAGTTGCTAAACAACTGTTATGAATCTCAATTACGACAGATGAGTAAGTTCTAGCGATCTGTTGTATAACTGTGCTTATTGTTAACAACACAGTATTGTACACTCAAAAATTCGTTGAGGGTAGATCTCATGTTAAATATTCTTACCACAATAAAACAAAACTTTAAAAAAATTAAGGTCCTAAATCTCAGCTACATTCTCAACACTCAGCATCTTATTTAACCTTAGTAATTTGGTCCATTCTCACTGAAGTTATTCGAAACTTTATTACTATACAGAAGCCCTCTACTACTCTTTAGCTCTTTTTACTTTCAGCAAATTATCTCATCTCCTGCTTTACAGATTAAAGTAGGAACATTAATCTTAACCTTCCTTAACCTTCTTCTTGACTCCCAAGTATCTATTTTTTACCCATTTCTCCCCTTGGATTCTGAACTTAAAACCACTGCCCTCCAAGAACTAACATCTTTCACTACTCTCTATATTTAGCACCGTGTATGTAATTACTCATACATGTGTTCGGCTCCTCAAATATAGTGTGGCCTCTAACAAGGGCAGGTTACTGTCTCATATGTACTCCTGACAATTCATGGCAGTTACGTATAGGTATTTGGTAAATTAGTTTGTGTTGTGGACCAAACTTTTTAGGATATAAAAGTAACTAGCCCTGATGACAGAAAAAAGAATCAAATAGGACCCTAAAGTATAAAAACCACCAAAATCAACTGCTTGATAATTACTAGCTACGTATGTAACTATCTCTAGTTACAAATTCATAAAGTCAGAAGAAAAAGAACAATACATTATCCCCCCAAATGCTACCTTCAGTTGAAAAAAGAAAGGCCCAAAAGAACTCTGGTTTGATTCTTAATTTCAATCAGGTATGTTGATAACATAACAGGTGGTAAATTCAGGTAACACCAACCTTTCTTCTGTGCACTCTGGTTTCTCTGTCCCATCAATCTCAATTTCTATAAGCTCCTCTGCTTCTCTTTTTGTCATGGTTGAAGTATTTCAAAAGCTCAGCCCTGTAAGAGTTAAATTTTAAGACATTTTGAAATGATCTGCACAAACAGAAATGCTACCCAAGAAGTAAAGACTCAATTCAAATAAAAGTAGAGGGCAAGTAGAACAGGAGGAAGTAATCTCTACATATAAAAGAAAATCCACAAATGTTATTGATACACCATTGTTTTTGTTAGACAGTGCTTATTAGCCTGATGGGAATTCTTCATCACTCTATTGGATTTATTGAGATTTCTTTTCAGCCAATTTTAGTTAGTAAATTAATTCAACTTACTTCAAAATCAAGTGAAAAGTATGTCAACTACAGTATAAGCAACTTCAGTCTTAATAATAGATTCAAACCTGCAGCTTAAAAACCAACATGAAGATCAACCACAACTGTGCAGCCAAAAGCTGTACTTTATGAGCAGAATAAAGAATGTACTTTATTAGCATTGTACTGATAGAGTGATAATAAAAGTTAATCTTAGCTATGACTTGTATTATGAATTACAGTATTTTGTAAGTGCTGGTACAATATTATAACATAGCAAAATAAAGTTAAAATATCTATTCAATATGCACATTATTATAGTAATTAATTACTGTAGCACTAGGAAAGTAATAACAGTCTTCTTTTCCACATTAGAAAGGGTGGTACCTCTCCCTAGTTCTCAACATCTCCAGCTACTGGGGAGCTGGTTTTCTGACAACTTAGTCCATAATTAGCTGGCATTCAAATCTAGACGGCTGGTACAAAAATGGTCTGATTTTTCCCACATTATTAAGGTTGCTCTCACATGTCCCCCATAAGAAGGAAGAGGGCAGGGTCCTGCACTAGAATATTCATCACGCATATCCAGCAGACTTTTGTTTGGGACAATGAATGAATAAAGGACTTTTCTTCTGACCCTGGCCTTCTAAGTCTTGTCTTTCCCCAATAAAGTCATTCCTGAAGATACTACATGTAAAACTGGAATTCATCCTGAGCACTACAGAACAGGCGGTGATCCTGTAGGACAACATAAGGTCCACCTGGTTAAAGGGATATTTGTTTGTTTACAGATGTATACAAAATATTTTGAAAAGTACCTCCCCCTTAGTAGGCATTCTATCAAAGTGTGTTGGGAGAAAAAATGTTGTAAGGACTATTACACACCATACACAGGTATATTCAATAGATAGGCTATAGAGTAAGAAAAGATATTTCCAGTATCTAAAAGTGACAAGAGAATGTCACTTTTAAAACAAGAACTAGAATAGGCAGTAAACTCCTGCAAAATAATAACGACTCCAAAAAAGTCAGGACAAATTAGAAAGGCAGGTAGAGCACAGCAGAAGGAAATTCACAAAAAACCAAAATGGCTAAGGATATGAAGATATGTTCAAGTTCAAATCACTCAAAAATGCAATTTAAAACAAGGAGCTACCATGTTCTACTGTGTGCATGTGGAAAATTAGATTGTTGAATACTGGAAAGAATCAGCAGGGACATGGGGACATAAGAATCCTCTGCCTCTGTCGACAGAGTATGGACAGATCGAGCCACTCTGCAGAAAAATTTAGCAGCACTTGCTCAAATCGAGGATGTTTACACCTAGGACCAAGCAATCTTGCCCTTTGATAAGCATTCCCGAGATAGCTTCATATTGATTGGTAAGGATGTTCAGGGCAGCTTTGCTGGTGAGAGCTGAAAACTGGAGACAATAAAAAAGTATCCATGGTAGGAAAGCATCCCCATACAAGAAAATGTGAAAGCAGCACACACCCTGGAACTTTAGTAGGAGTGAAAAACAAGGAAATCATGCACATACACACGCACAAAATCAGATGAGCTGCTGTACCGGGGGGAAAAAAAAAGTGAGAAGCATTAAGGTTTACAGCAAAAGAGAAGTTTAAAAAACATTTATGTTTTATTTTCAGGGCCTGCAAGGTCTACTCTCCTCTCCATGACCAATTAAAAGAAAAAAAAAAATCAGAAAACAAGTGAATTTTCTCTAAACTTTGGAAAAAATAAAAAAGCATATTAGGAACCAACCAGAGGCTGAGAACTGGCCCTAAATATTACCTGTGGTTCCCAATTATAGAAGCACTAAAAGAGGTAGTTGTTAAAAACAGATTTATCCTGTCATCTTCCAAGAAAGTTATAGATCAGTCCCTAAAAGGTGCCAGATAAAGAGCCCAAATACTTTAGGAAAAAATACTCTTAGTTTCTAAATTGATCCCTTTCTCTTTCTCTCTCAGTTCTCTAAATTTAGCCTTGAAAGCAAAAGAGAGTTGGGAAAGTGTCCAAATCTTTGATATTACTGCTTGAGTGGGTTTTAGCTCTTTTTCTCAAACCAGGATTCTTTTTCAAAAGTTCAGATGAAAAAGAGAACGTTTCTTGGAGCCCTTCCATCTAAGGGCTGCTCATGACACCCTGGGTTTTTTAGATTAAATCTAACCTGGGATTCAGAAAGCTTCACAAAATGGATACAAACTCAAATTTAACTAAAAAAGTCTAGAAAACACTAATATTCCTTAAAATAATTACATTTAATATTCTTTTGGAGCCACAGTTAAACTTGAAAATTAGTCTTCTTCATTAGAACACATTATTAGTTTAGAGTTTAGGACAATTTTTCCCAATAAGAACAATACTTGTATATAATATAAATGTATCCTTAACAACATATATTGAACACATAATATGTAAAATGTGTATTTAACATAAACATAGACATACAATCTGGGAGTACCTACCTGATCAACTGCACATTTTTCTCAAACTAAAAAAAAACCCAAACTTTTAAATACCAGAAGAAATTAAAAATCATTTTTGTTTTTAAAAAATAAGGTCAACAATTAAGAAAAAGTAAAGCACATGTATTTGTGTGGAGGTGGGTAGGGAAAGCAAGTGTGGAGAAAAGATTAACAACTGGTGACCTTCCCCGCGCCGGGTGAAGGTGTTCACTGTCTAATTTCATTGTTTAATTTTTCTACTTTCCTACAGATTTGAAGTTTTATATATATGAAAGTTGGAGGGAAATAAGTAAACATTTTCATTTAATATTCAGCCTCCAAGTTCTCCTGAGTAGCCTCAATTTAGTAGCTAGCTCAGTATTTATTTTCTTACTTCAAGACTATGCATCGCCCCTAACTCATAGTCCTGTATAGGTATCCAGGTAAAATTGACTTAAGTCCACCTAGTGTCAGAATATGTCTGAAAATAAACAAGCTTGGAAAGTCTGGATCAAACCCTGAGAAGGGTTATTCCCTTAAAGAAGTATGGAAAGAGCTGATCAGTTTCTTCTGAAGCGTAAGATAACACAGCACTAAGGGCGTTATCACTGCCCAGTTCTTCGCCGGGCCGAATGAGCCCTCCTAAATCTTCGCGCTTCCCACGGGCCAAGACTCGCTGCGTGTATTTCTAAATCACGACTCATTATCTTGCAATGCAGTATGAGGCAGTCTTCCCTGCCGTTAACCTAATCAAACGAGGATCCCGAAATACAAACACGCGAAAACAGCTTATCTTCCAGCACACAACAAACTTAAAAAGTTGGCAAACTACATGAACCCATCGTTTTCCCCTTGTCTTACTGCCTCTTTTTAAAAGAAATCCAATGGGCACACTAATAAATGGCTGTGATGCAACTACGGGGTAATTCTAGGAAAAACAACTGGATTCGTAGTGAGAGCGAATCGCTGAGTCGGCGAGACTACTTTTGCATCTTCTTTTGAAATCTCGGAGTGTCAGGATCACATCCCGACCGCGGAGACTGTGGACCAAGGCGGACAGTGGACGAGGGAACGGTGAGGGGAAAAGAGCGGCGAAAGGTGACAGGAACAGCCCGGGCCCCGGGGGCGCGCGGCTTCCCAGAGCCCGGCGCCGCGCGCCCCCCGCCCCTCCCCTCCGCTCCCCGCACAGCCTCCCCGCCCCTCCCCACCCGGCTCCCTCAAGTCTCCACGAACGGAAATGGGAGTCACAGCGCCGGGGACCAGCGGAAACAAAACACAGAAGCGGCCGCGGGGGGGCTGCTTTGGGGAGAAGGCCCCGGAACGAAGCCAGCCCGCGCGGGCCCGCGCTCCCCTCCTCTCCGCGGCCGCACTCACCCTCTCCGCAATCGACCCGGTCGCCCCCGCCCGCGCTCCAGAGCCGGCAGAGAACAGCAGTGGCGCGGGCTCCACGTGCAGCGTCTCTCCCGGTAAAACCTGCAGCTCCCGCGACTCGAAGTGTGAGGCCCCTGGGCCCTTCCCGCGGAATCGGCGCTGAGAAACTCCAAACCCCCTCCCGCCTCCCAGGCACCCCCGGGTCCAGGACTACAACTCCCAGCAGGTTGCGCGAAACGAACGCCCGAGGCAACGGAGGCTCACGAGGCACAAGGGAGCACAACGCCCTAGCTCGCTTTGTTTTACACTCTTGTCACTTTGTCGGTACGTTCATACACCTCAACAACCCAACTAACACGACTGCTGACTCGGGGAGGGAGGGATTGAACTAAGGGACAGGCTGGTCCAAGTGCGCATGCGTGCACAGTAAGGTTTCCAGGAGGGAAAAAGAGAGATCAAGTTAGGAGGACGAAAGATGGCGGAGGACTCGCTAGGGGACCCGGAAGCACTTACCCTCCACTTCCTCTTGTTTGCCTTCTACCTCACCTACAGCCGTCCGGTCGCGGACTGTCTCCGAGACGCTTCCTGTCCGGTGAGTGCTGACCGACTGAAACGGCAGCCCATAATGCATTGCGATGGCGGGTAGGCGGGTGGGGGCGGAGCCAGGGCCGGAAGTAGAACGGTGGCGGCGGCGGTGGCTCTGGCGGCTCGGAACTGAGTGCAAGGTGATTGGGAGGGTAGCTGGACTTGCTTGGGCTCTTGGAACGCCGATTCATAATTTGTTCTTCGGGTTGGGCTGCCTATTATTTCTGCCCTTCAAGAGAAAGCAGTTTTCTGGCTCGGGCACCTTCACGACCTGGCCCGAGGTCACTGCAGATCTCGGCGCTTTTAGGCCTTGAAGTTTGCCCTAGGCTCGGGATATGTATCCTTATGAATAACACCCGCTCCGGGGGCGAGCCGGGATGGTGCGGGTTGCAGGGACGCGAGGTTTCTTGGACCCGCAGCCGGGCTGGGGCAGCCCAAGGTCATGCTCATGGGGTAGGGCGCGCGGGAAATTGTTCTGAGCTATTTAAAGCAGAACGTGCACCCGAAGAGGCGAAAGAGTAATAGTCATCTTAACAATTTGCAGCCCACTTTAAAATGTCGATAGTGCTAAAACGTGGTTAGGCGCCGTGTTTTATACTCTGACTTTCCCTTCACAAGCCTCCCATCTCAACAGTCCTGGGGAAGCGGGCTCTGTCTGGGCGGAGGGGTGCTTGAACAAGCGGAGAGGACAGAGTACGCCTGCGAACACAAGGTTTCCAAAAAGGAGAAAGGGGTTCAGATAGGCACGTTGTGCATTGACTTTAAGCATATGGTTTGAAGAGGCAGCGAAAGGACTGACCTTTGGTTGGTCAGCCAGCACTGTAAACAGGAAAACTATGCTGTTTCAGCGCATGCTGTACCCTTTTCTTGCCTTCCTCAATTTTATAGAGTCAAATCCCTATCACAGGCTCTTGTGACACTCCATAGTATGGGAATAGTGAACACATCACAATTGGTATTTTGACACCTCCTTGTGTAAATAGCATGTGTCTTGGGCGGACTAGTGGACAGCCCGCACTCACTATATATTTAATCAGTGGTAAAAAATGAAAAAGGGGATAAAGGGGAAAAAACGGTTTTGATAGATTATGTGTTCATTTTTTAAACAAGTTGAATTTGAGGGCCCTCCTAAAGGACTTATGAAAGGATGTGGGCTCTTGAATGTATGTTAGGAGTTCAGGAAAAAGAATAAAATTAGAGATGTGATTTGGGAATCATTAGTACTTAGGTGATAGAAATCGAAAAAATGAAAATGGGTTTTACTCATGTTGCCATAGGAATAAAATGATTTTTGCAATCATAGCAAGTTAACTGTGGGAATATGAACAATTGAATAACCTGTCTTAGACATAGTTTTATTACTTGTAAAAGAGGGGTAAGAACACCTTCCTGTAATTCTTGAGGCGAGTGCCGTAAGGGTACGAGGGGAGACTGTATGAGGTCTGTCCAGAAGGTATCTAGCCATGTAATATGAAAGAGAAATTTATTAAAGAAGATACAAGAAACATTGTACATGGGACAATGACACCTCAGTCCCCTTCAAAGTAGGCCCCTTGGGACCTCACACAGGTCTCCCAGTTGCCATTACCTGCCCTGTCGTGTTTTCCTGAATCTCGTTAAGGTCTGAAATCTCTTCCCTTTCAAAGGGGATTTTAGTGTTGGGAAAAGCCAGAAGCCACAGGGCGCCAAGTCTGGGCTGTAGTGCAGCTTAGTCACCTGGGTGATTTGCTCTTTCACCAAAAAACTGCAGGAAACATGATGCATGAACAGGTGTGTTGTGATGAAACTGCCAGTCACCAGTTGCCCATAGCTGCGGCCTTCCGAATCATCGAAATAGTTTTTGTGGAGGAACGTTCAAGCTCAGTGCAAAATTTGATGCAGATTCCTTGCTCTGCTCGCTCAGTCATTTTGAATGTGACTGACACACAGCACACCTGCTCACTCAACGGCGTCTACAGCCCCCACTGACAGTACAGTGAAGTCATCATTGTTCACACATGTGCATTCTGGTCCACTCCTTGGCTGGCACGTTACATCGATGTCGTACAAACCATTCTCATTAACAATGGCTGGACTTTTTCCAGACAGTCCTCATATATGGAAGGTTTTTGTGAAATACCTAGGACTGAACAAATACTAGTTAACCTTACTGCTTGGTGTTAAGTGTGTCCTTAAGTTGCCAGAAAGAAATATGTACATTGAGATGTGCAATGTTAAAAATATGTTTGTGTCCAGTCAGATTCTGCTGTGTAACCTTGGACCAGGTACTTACCTCTAAACCTCAGTTTCTGTATATGTAAAATGGGAATGGTTGTAAGTCAGCTTAAGGTCATTTGTTTTTTGCTTGTAGTCTTTTCTCAAGTATTTGTCTCTGATGTGGTATAAGAATGATATATGATGAATGTTTTCATTTCCTCAAATAGTTTGCTTTCTCCCTGGCAGGGGAAGGGCATTTTGTTGATTGTATAATTTCTTTTGGTAGTTTTTATATGCTATTCCAGGGTTTCTCCACCTCGACACCATTGATATTTTGGACCAGACAATTCTTTGTTGTGGAAAGGCTTTTGTTGTTTTTATTGTTATTATAGGATATTTGGCAGCATCCCTGGCCTTTACCCACTAGATCCCAGTTACACCCTAGTAGGGACAATCAAAAATGTCTTCAGATGTTGCCAAATACCCCCACCCCTATTCGAGAACTGTGCTACTCTACTCTCCTACAGCTTAGTGCTTCTCAAACTCTCAGTGGTAAAGGGTTTCCTACCCCAACCTTTGTGGATGCTTTTAAAGAATACAGTAAAAATGAACTATCAGAAAAATTGTATCAATAACAAAACAACACAAAATACAAATGTTAATTTTTTATTGTAAAGTTAAGCAAGTATAAGTTAATATGCCAAATTGCTTAAAAATTTCTAACTGCTTACTCCCAATTTTTGTATAGACCAGTGACACAGTGTGTATACTACCACTGGTCCACAGGCCATGCTTCGGATAGCAGTAGTATAACTTAATAGGGGTCCAGTGTCAGTATGACAGTGATTATTGTTCTTATTATTATTAGGTAATTTGCCAGGGGAGGAATCATGTTAGTGTTAGCACGTTAGGTTTTCAGTTTCTCTTTAAGGTACAGAAATTTTACCAGGCTGTATTGAGGTATGTCTCTTATCATCATTCCAACATAGAGTTTGGTAAGTAAGCCCTTTCCCTCTAGTAGACCCAGCCTTTCTTAATCTGAGGGAGTTTCTTCTAATTGTCTTATCTAGTCCTTTTCTTTTAGAATTTCTGTTTTCATATATTTGTTATAGTTCAGAATGTTTTTTACGCATTTGGTCTTCCAAGACACCAAATGAGGTCTCAACTGAGATCATCCCCTAATTTATCTACTGAACTTTTTAGTTAGAAAATTATGTCTTTTAGCTTCAACAAGTCTAAGGAGCTGGCAGTCTTTAAGTCCTTATTTTTAAAAATCAGATTTTCATCTCCTTTACAAATTCTGACTCACTAATTAGGTTGTAGTGCGTGATTTTCTCTCTTTTTGTGGGTAGGTTTCCTTGCTGGTTCTTTTGGGCTCAGATTTGCAGTTGTAACAGGCAGAGCACTTTCGCCTCCCCCCGCCCCATGGGCCTGTGAAGTAGAAATTTCCGGGTTGTCAGTCCTGACCGAGGCAGCTGTCCACAGTGTTCCTGCCCAGGTCCCTTTCCAGGGGTCAGGGAAACCTGGCACATTAGTTTGGGGGTCAGGGTTGTTCTTTTCCTGCTGAGGGCGTGCAGTTTTCTAACATCCTAGCATGACCATTTCCCCTGATCCAAAACTAAGTTCATGTAGAAGAAAGAGGCCATTCCATGTGTTGCACTCCTTCTGCATGTAACTGTAGTGGAGCTGCACACAGGCCTGAGTTCCTAACTGCTGCTAGGTCGCAGGGCCTTCAGTTACAAAGTCAAACTTGCAGTGGGCAGTGGAGCGGGGAGCGGGGATGGAGCTGCAGTCAGGTGACCGTCCATAGCATTGACTGAGTTCTGGTATGCTGTAAGTTCTGCAGCAATTAGGAGAATTAGAGTCCCACTTTATGATATATTTAGAGGTAGTCTCAGTTGTATACATATTAAAGCATATTAACATTCTGGTGCTTGTTTTCAGTAACAGAGTCACCATGATTCTTCAGAGGCTCTTCAGGTTCTCCTCGGTCCTTCAGTCTGCAGTCTCGGTCTGCTTGAGGAGGAATGTTGGTGTGACAGCAGTGGCATTTAGTAAGGAACTTGATCCTGTACAGAAGCTCTTCGTGGACAAGATTAGGGAATACAGAACTAAGCGACAGTAAGTGGGTACATAATCGACCATGATACAAATAATCAAAGTATATAAGTTTTGAGGTGATAATACAATTACTTGGTGTTTCATAGTGTCTTAAGACCTTCGCTGAGCTGATCCCTGGCATGGAGGTTTGTCAGTGTGGCGAAAGGAGGCGATAATATCTTGATTATTTTAAGTCCCAAATTTTACCTTTTTTATGGGTTCCAAGGGAGAATCCCATTAAAATTTCTTGTTCTTTTCAATATGTCCATATTATAATGGCATTGATTATAAATCAGAGTCAGTTTGTAGAGGTGCAGAGGACCTTGGGACTCATTAAGGAACCATGCGGTAGTCCCCCTATCAGTGCGGTGTTGCTTCCTGGGTGTTCAGTTACCTGTGGCCAACTATGGTCCAAAAATATTAAAGGGAAAGTTCCAGAAATAAGCAGTTCATAAGTTTTAAATCACACGTCATTCTGAGTAGCATGAAAAAAATCTCTCACTGTCCTGTTCTGCCCGGCTTGGGATGTGAATCATTCCTTTGTTTAATGTATCTATCCCGCATACACTACCGGCCAGTTAGTCACTTAGTACCCATCTTTGTTATTATATCAGTTAGCAGAGAGGCCACATTCACATAACTTTTATTAAAGTGTATTTATATTGTTATACTTCTTTTATTTAATTATTGTTAATCCTTACATCATGATTTCAGGGAAATGTAAAAACAGCACTTAAAAAATTTTTTTTTTTTTATTCTTATATATTTCTGGGAATATCAAAAGACAGAATACTCTGAAATGGTATAAAGCAAGTCTAGGAACAACATGAGTACAGTACCATACCGTTTTGGAGATGAATGATGACCTTAGCCATCATTAAGTTCAACCCCCAAATCTTTGGAAAAGTGCTATACATCAGTTCCTAGTTCCATTTTTTAAAAAAGTTATTTAGTTGTTGACCATGTGCAGAGCACTGAGCCATGAATTGTGATGGGCCACAAAGAAAGAAGCCACACTGCATTTCCACAATATTCTTAATGTCTGCTAAGGGTAGAAAGTTTGTAAGCAAGTAAATACAGTTAGGTAAAATGGGTTAGATGCTAACTGAGACTGGCACATTCGTTGTTTGGGGAGTTCATAGGAAAGTTATGTTCCTTTCCAGCTGGAGGCATTTTAGAAGGTGTCTTAGAAAAGTGAAGGTTTTATCTGGGATTTGAAAGCAGTGTTGGAAGTCATTCATCTCTCTAGAGAATTTCACAGTCAGCTATGTGTAATCATCCCTCTTGGGAAAAAAAGTGAAGAATTTACTCACATTATTTTGCTTATAGCTTGAAAGGATTCTCAGACCCACGGAAGGCCATTAATAGACACACCCATGGGTCTACCTGAGGTTATGAACAATTGGTGTGAAGATTGGACAAATAAATGGGAGTGGGAGGAGGGTATCTTTTATAAGGAAAGAGGGTGTGAGCTAAGGTATGAAAACTAGAAAGCATATTTAGGAAATTGTGTAATGCTGTATCCCCAGACTGCAAGGTATATGAAGCGTGTAAGGAGCAGTAAGGGTAAAATGGAGTTAGAATGAGGGACTGTGGAAGGCCTTGATTATAGACGGACAATTGAAATAGTACATGAAAGGCATTTATGAGAAATAAAAGGTTTTTGAGCAGGCTGAAGAGGTAGAACAGGATTGCTCTATATTAGGAAGATAATTTTAATCACCGTGTATTGAGGAAATTGGGATGAGAAAAAAGGGAAGATGCTTGACAGGTTTGAAAAATGTAATAATCTGCCCTGGCTGGTGTTGCTCAGTGGTTTGAGTGCCGGCCTGCAGACTGAAAGGTCCCCAGTTCGATCCCAGGCAGGGCACAAGCTTGGAATGCTGTCCAGGTTCCCAGTTGGTGGGTGTGAGAGGCAACTGACCTACGTATCTCTCACACCTCTCTCTCTCCTTTCCCCTCTTTCTAAAAAAGTAAATAAAATCTTTTGGAAAAAAAATATAATAATCTAAGCATTGGTTGATAAGAATCATGGCATTGGGAATATGAAAGTGACAAGAGTCAAAACACTGAGACTTTTGAGACTGGACCACTTAACAAGGTTTGGTTGTTAACTGGAATTAAGGAGGGAGAGGGTGAAGGGGTAAAAATGAAGACAATGTTATGAAACAATCTTATTCATGTTATCCCCAATTCATATATGAGAAAACGAAGGCTGAAAGTTTAGAATTTGCCTAAGATCACACTGTTCAGTAAGCAGGTGTACAGGATGGGGGGGAATTGGAGTGTCTTCTGTCCGTAGGCATCGTGGCATCATAGTATTGATGCTGTTCGCACTTTAACTGTCCTTAAAAGTGTGTCCAATAAGAAGTCAGTCCTCAGGTGTACTCTGAACCTAAGGAGTCTGGTTCATTTATTTGTGCAAACAACAGCATGGGGTGTCCCGAGCATTCATGCTGGTCCAGAGGCCAGCGCTGCCACTTACTAGCTGTATGACCTTGGGCAGGTTATTTAACCTCCATGCCTCAGATTCCTCGTATATGAGATGCGGATGGTAAAAACAGTATCTGTATCATAGGATGTTTGAAAGATTAAGTGCTTCAATAAATTAGCATGCCTAGTCTTTTTTTTTTTTTTTAAATGAAATAAATAAATCTCCCTTAAATTTCTGCTTTGACCCTGTCACCATCTGGAGCAAGAGGGGCTGGGAGTTATATAGTCAGTTGAGAGGTTAGAGTATTTGCCGCCTCTCTATATCACAAGAGTACACATTATAGTTGTAACAGCCACCACCTAGGATATTGATGACATCGGTTGGATCTTCTCAAAGCAGTTTCTAAAACTTGTGAATCTCAGGTCTGGAAGGTAATTCATCAGAGCATCTGGTTGAAGGCTCTATCAAGAACTGCATTGTATATGTATATCAGTAGGTATTATTCACATGTGACTATTCAAATTATAATTATGATTAAGTTTAAATAAAAGTTGTTTCTCAGTCTTAGCCACATTTCTAGTTCTTAATAACCACATGTGGCTAGTGGCTACCACATTAGACAGCAGAGATATAGAGCATTTCTATCATCACAGAAAGTTTTCATAAGTTCTTAAATTAGAGCTTTCCATTTTTTTGGTGAAAATTCTGTAACATAAGTAAGACCCTATGCCTTTATTATAGGCATGTGTGAAAATATTACCCTTGATGGAATTTTTGCTTGTAAATTTTTTTGTTTGTTGTCCATTGATAGGCGCGCAGTAACATGACAAACACAGAAGAGTGTGCAAAGAATTAAGTAAATGTAATTGACCTCATTGCTGGTCCATGGTGCTGTATATACCTTCCCAAAGCACATCTCTGATTTTGTCATTTTATTGCTCAGCAAATAAAATACAAACTCCCAGGATTCCCATGCTCTGTGTCCCGCCGGCTTTTCCATCTAAATTGCTTAATACTCCCACGTAAAGCTAGTGCTTGATCTCCTCCACATCTTTGCTTTTCAGTCTTAGAATGTTGCAAATTAAAATCTGACTCAAATGCGTGATGTATCACAAATGCCACTTTCCTTAAATGAAATTTTTTTCTGATTAGCTCAGCAAAAGTGCTCTTTCCTCAACTTGAGTAGCTTTTTGTTAAAACATGTCTTTGAAGCTTATCACATAACTCCCTTACAGTATAAATGTTTATGAATGTGTTTTTTTTTCTTCTTCTAAATGCCAGAACTCTCAGGGTAGAAAATGATTTTGGTCTTGTAAACTAGTGCATAAAATGAGTTCTCGCTTGCTCATTTACATACAGGTCGTCTGGAGGGCCTGTTGATACTGGCCCAGAGTATCAGCAGGATTTGGAGAGGGAGCTTTTTAAGCTTAAGCAAATGTATGGTAAAGCAGACATGAATACGTTCCCTGACTTCAAATTTGAGGGTGAGTCTCTTTAATCACAGATTTCTTCTTGTGAAGATCATTTTAAGAAGAAAATGTTTATATGTATTTATACTTAATTTGGATATTTTAGAGGCTGTCAGCTAGATGTGGATTCATTAAGACAGTGATGTGTGCGTGGGAACCTCAGGGATAAATGTTTGCCGTTGGTTATAGGAGTTCATATAACATAGAGGTTAAATGATGGGGCTCTGATATCAAACTCCCTGATCCTGACTCCTGACAGTATCATTTATGAACTGTGTGATCTTAGATAATTAATTGGTACCTGTTTTCCCACCTGAATTGGGAGAATTATATCGTCCCCACGTAGTTGTTTTAATTAAATGATATATGTATAGTCAATTAATAGCCAGGCTCATAGTAAAATGCTGAATAAGTCTTTGGCTATTGTTATATTTCCATGCAGATGTTTAGAAACAGCAGATACTCACTAAAAACAATCAAAAGATTGATGAGTTAAATATTGAAGCTTTCTCATCAAGGCATTTTAGTGCAGCATGGCTAAGCTTAAACCTTTTTTTTCCTCTTCTTAGATCCCAAATTTGAAGTCATCGATAAACCCCAGTCCTGAAGAAATGTCAAATTTATCTGGTAATTTTCACTAGATAAGTTGTACAACTGATCAGAAGTCCCAGAATAAACATACATTTCAACAACTGTCAGATGTCCTTTAATTCTGCTTCCAAATAAACTTATTTGGTGATGTTGGGTGTATGCTTGAGTGTATTGAATTCTGTGTTTTAGCACTGTTTTTAAATCTCATTTGGTTATAACAAAGCAGATGGAGAACTTAGATAAATTGAGTACAACTTGCTTATACCCTTCAAGGCTCCTCTCCGTGCGCAAGGCACCCTTCTTTCTCACTGCGGAGACCTGCCGCCGGAGGGGAGCCACCCTGGCTAAGGAACGCTCGCTGCAGAGGGGGGCCACACTAGGGGAGGGTTTCTAAATCCTCTCTCACGGCTCCTTCGGGAAACTCCGGTGTCATTTTGAATATGTACAGGAATGTCCACGGTGTTTTAACATCCATCTTCTCAAATAGTAAAGGCTCTTATTCCAGTAGCTCAGGTCCCTCCTCTTCCCTTACTAGCTAGTGGTCACAGTCTACCACAGTGCTGTACAGCCAGGGGAGGGAAGGCCCAGGGCCCGTGGAGAGGGTCCTAACAGAGGGACTTCCCTTTAAAGATCAAGCTGTATGGAAGTGTTTTGCCCAAGCAATGGAGGATCCAGCAGCTCTGCGCTGGGTAAGAGGCATAGTGGGCACACCAGAATCCCAGAAACTTGTTTCCCTGAAACAAGGGGGAAACAGCTGTGCCTTTTTATATCTGACGATCTCTCTGACTTGTGTCAATAAATAACGGATCTTAATAAGCCTTTAAAGGTTTTCTTTAAAAACGTGAAGTCAAACACAGCCTTCGTTGTGCATTTGGCTCACTTCAGAAAAGGAATAGATTTTTACTATGCCATGCCATACTGAGGAATTTGTTTTCCAAAAGATCCACAAATGTTTCCTAGTGGTACAGGTAGGAAGAAAGGGTCCAGTTTTCAAATGAAGCTAAGCAATAACAGTTCAGTTGAACTACTTTTATTTGAATAATGTCAGGCACTGGAACAGAAGCTGATGTTCCATTATGGCACTATTTAAAGGCAGTGAAGGAAGTCTGCTGCTCAGGTCCTTTCTTCAGCCTCCCCTGAAGCAGCTCTTTCCCACCCAGGGGTCAACGGTGCTGGTCTCAGTGAGAAGGGCTGACCCTTTCAGCACGTACTTTTCTTTTTCCCTCCCTCCCCTACTCCGTTGAGTTGAAGGTTACCTTTTATAATCTCACACCTAGTGTTGCTTTTTTAATACAATCTTTTTACCTGTCTTGCAACTGGAATTTGTTTGAACCTCGTCCCAAACTCCACCATTATGTAAACAGAAGGGTTCTGTTTGTGAATGGCTGCAAGAATACTGCCAAAAGCAGCCCACTCCTGTGCCCTTCATCTTGGGACCATGCATTTGTAGCTACATTTCACCTAGGGAAGCGCTCTGTTTCCCAGCTGAATGCGGTAGCAGTGCTTTGAGTCATGGCTGTTACCCAAGGCTTCATCTCCCTCAGAGCCCCTTCCTCTTTCTGGTGAGGCTGCCCCAACTCTGCAAACTCTAGCCTTTCCCTGTCCCTTCAGCACTGGTGCCTTCTCACCCTGCACTTGTCATTTGGGACCACCTGGGTTTATAGCAAATGATCTGAATCTTCTAAGCTCTTAGCTGTTTAAAATGGTTTTTTTCCCCCTCCCATGCCAGGTATTACAGGCTGAATTGAATTCTAAACTTCATCGAAGTTGAAACCCCTAGAACCTCGCAATGTGACGATATTTGGAGATGCAATTAAGTTACAATGAGGCCGTTAGGGTGAGCCGGAATCCAATGTGCTGTTGAAGAAGAGGAAATTGGAGTTGAAGAATGGCGTGGAGAACTGGAAAGGGACATGTGTCTGCTAGTTACCTAGTTCCACCTTTAATAATAACCAAAGAGGGCTTCTGATCTAGGCTATTTGTACTTATTTAAACTAGTTTTGGACCTTTTTGTTTGTTTCTGGCTGTCACTTTCTGATTGTTGCTGCTCTTTTTGTTGCTGGCCTATAAACGCCAGCTTTCAAGGATGCCTGCTTGATCCCAGGAAACATCCTTGTCCTAATAAATCATGGGAAAAGGAGAGCTTCATTTCCCCTGCTGTTTTCCTTAATACATTTTTTCCGACTCTCACTCCTGATTAAGGGTATTTCCTTCTTGGCAGGTGCCTTCAACTTCAGGAAGTGATCCTCTTTAAAATTCTCTTGTGTAGGGAGTAAGCTGGGGTAAAACTCAATTTTGACAAGCTCATTCTCACACAACTTGGACAGGTCATTCTGTCTTCCCGTTCCTCCCTATTCCCAATCCATCCATACACACTTCAGTGTTCATGGACCTGGGTGTTGGGCAAAAGGGTAGAATTTAAATATATTCATCATGGTAGCTTCAATATTTTAAAAAAGATGAGAAAGTTGGGCATCTGTGATTAGGGGAGAATGGGCAAAAATAAAACGGCCCACTGTAGGGGAAGGCACTGAGATGCAATATGGCTCTAGCCATAGCAAAGGCGTCTGGGAAATGTTAGATTAAACTCTGTAGCCTCAGGCTTGGCCAACTACCTAGAAAACCTGAATGCCACCCAAAGATAAACATTATGTTCCCAGGAAGGAAGTTAATGAATATATAGAGTGTAATAACTGCCTTATGTTATCTGTTAACTTAGGAATGCATTGTTCTTTCTGGTAGTCTATGTAGCTACCCACCATATAGTTTTACTGCTAACCTCTTATAAAAGAGACCCCCTGTCCTGGGAAGGGTATACATGTTCTCCCAGCTGGCCACCACTGGCAGCAGTTGCTTTGCCTGCATAGGTAAATTTTTCCAATTAAAGCTCTAAGAATTTGAATAAGGTTGCATTCCAGTGTCTTTAATCAATCCTGAATTTAGACTTTTGGGGCTTTTCCAAAACCCAGCATGGCATTTAAACTGGGTAGTGGAGAAAAGGAAGAGAGAGAAATGTTTCAGGTTGTGAGACTCATTGGTAGAAATCAGGCTCTTCCACAGGATTGCAAGGAAAGCATTGGAAGGGCTCACAGGGGAAATTGTGTGGCAAGAGGGTTTACTCATACAGAAGACTGCCCCCGGGTTTCCAATTCCCCATCTGCCTCCATTCCACCATGGAAAAAGTCCAGCTGTGTTCTCAGGAAGGCCAAAACAGAAGCCGGTGTCCAGAGTGCCTGCTTCCTGTATATTAAAGCTCAGTCTTTTGGAGTCCACATAGTCTTCTGTGGGTCCCAGTAGCTGCTGGACCAACATGGTCACGTGCTTCCAGGCAAGAAAGAACCACTGAACACCCGGGGTGAGTACATTACTGGGTGAGAGAGAGAGAACTTACTTGTTCCCCTGGGATTATATTAACTTGGGTTTGGGATGGATCAGATGCTTTTTTAAAAGAACCCATCATCTCTCCAAGCTCTCCTGGGCTTTTGATAGGCCCAACCCTAATCAGACTGACAGGCCTTTTTGGTGAAGCACCTCCCCCTGTATTCCCCTCCCCCCAGCCCAACAATCGGGTACTGGAGTAGGAAAGGGAGGCGTGTTAATTCCCTTGGTGGAGCAATGCTGTGATCCCATGGGGCATAAAGCTGTAGCTTCCTGATGAAGCAAGCAGGCTCATGCTTGCCAGTTTATTAAACTCCATGTCTAATTCCCTTTGCTCCCTTTTTCTCAATAATTGGCTAACTACATATGGTAACAAGATTAGGGAGGGCTGGAAGGGTTAGAGATTACTGAGGATTAAAGGGGAGGTAAGGTACAAGAGAATTTGAAAATGTAATAGAAGGAAAGTTGGGAGCAGAGGAAAAAAAAATATGTAAAACATCCTGGATCAGATTGATCTGGGTCATGTAGCCCCATGGATTCCTCACTTAGCTCTATGAACTTGTCAGTCATTGACCCTTGGTCTCAGTTTCCTCACCTGTAAAATAGGACATACCCCCCTTTGTATCATTGAGATGGATGAGATTTTACATACCCTCTCTTCCGTCCACCCCCGCCTCTGGCATGTATAAAATGTTCAATAAACAGCTGTGGCTTTTTATTTTCAGAGACGTTTTCCTTTTCAGTGTTTGAGAGCTTGTCATGCATCCAGACTGAGAGATGATGAGATTCTAATCTCAGGCAGCTAAAGAACTAGCCTTGTAACTACAGATGGTAAGAGGGTGTAGTTTCCTGGGTTTTACTGAACAATAGGTGGATGACTCTTCCCCTGTACTGTTAAGTGGAGCTAAAAAGTTTAAGAAGTTCAGCTATTTTTGTTGACGTAGGCTCTTATAAAACAAAACCACATGTGAGACAAAGGAACTTTCTTTGCAAACATGTACTGAAAAAGAACCAATTGTTCCAGATTTAGTTAGGTTAAACCCCCAATTCAAAATAAACCTAGTTACAACAGCAACAATAATTAAAACGAAACTTGCTGTTAAAGATTCTAGAGCTCTAATCCTTATATAACAATTTGCAGAAATATAAAATCAAAGTGCACAAAGAATTATAACGGGATTTTACCAATTGTTAAGTGTTCAAGTTCCTCAAATAAAAGCCATTGGAAACACAAGCTCAGACATAGGTGGATATACTTTTAATAGTTGGAAAATGAGTGCTCAGTACTATGTCATTTGTGTGGGAGAAAGCATTCTTCACAGTTTTTATTCAGCTGTATACAGTAGTTTAAGGTAATGTATAATATGTTTTTGACAAAGTGTTAGATGTTAACACTGTATAAGGCAAATCGTCTAGCCTATATGGCTTAGAAGTTTTTCATCTATTAGTAAAACTAATGTACCACATGTTTTCCTCACATAATGGATTTGTGTCATTAAATTGATCTTGTGTGCAGGTAGATAGGCCTGAAAAGGCATCTTTAAGACTCACATGATCCCTTGGCACTTGGTAATGCAGAGAGAAAGCATTTCCCAAACTAAAGCAAATGAAAGCATGGGCAACACTTGGCCTAATTTCTTACAAAAACTTATAGATAGGATGGTTGTTTTTTTTTTTTAATGCTTTACCATCAGAAGTTGGGGAACTGTGTGTGGGCCATATCTTGTGTCTGCCTACTATTTTTGTAAATAAAGTCTTATTGGAATACAAACAGAAGCATTGAATGCCACAAACAAGTCGGGGGCGGGGGGCAGCCCGACTATAGGGGTCTTCCCAGTGACCTGGTGTCCAGGCACGTGCTAGGTACTCAGTGAGTGCTTAACCCATGTGTACGGTGAATCCTGAGAATTTGCTTTATTATTGAGCAAAAAGAATTGACTCCTTTAAAAGCAGCTTAACCATGTTCAAAGTTGTCAAAGGTATCAAATGACCTTTTCATCCAGATTTGCCCAGAACTGGAAATACCCTAGCCATATTTTGTTATTAATATGAATTAATCAAAACAAATTTTAACTACACTTTAAACATAGTCTAACTGCTCTTCCCATTAAACCAATTGTTGGGAGTTTTCACTTGGTAACACTAGCTGGAGGCCCTTGGGATTAATCCATTGAGAAACCAGGTGATCAGACCCATTTTTCATTTCAGCCACCATTTTTCTTGTGCTCCCTATCGCAAGGGGGATGGATGCCAAGTTCAGGGAGCCACAGTGAACTCTTTCAGCTCATTTTACTTGTCAGACAAACACATCTCCCCTATCCACGGCTTTGTGATTATCAGGATTGGCAATCCACAATCTGACCGTGAGAGCAGGGAACTCGGCCCAGACCAAAATTGCCCTGCATGATTTTGAGAGACAGAGATGCAAAGTCATCATCCCACAGGGAAAGGGGTTGGCAGAGTTCTGTGCAGAGGCTCCAGTGGCAAGCTCTGATGTCAAGGTCACTGATCCTCTTTAAAGGGGTTTTAGGGGACGGGAATAGCGACAAGGAGGTGTGGGGGTGAAATAAGACACTTGGGTTAGGGTTTGACTCTCAGAGTGAGCTCTGGTCATCAGGTATTTTTCATGTTGCTTTTGGTTCTCAGAAATTAAACAGTACAAATCCTTGGCTATTAGGCCCATTCCCACTACCTCCCTTCTGTGGATAAATGAGCAGCAGAATGAGGACTATATGAAGAGAGAAAAGAGGATTCTGAGGGAAATAAGGCCAGGGTTTCCTTTTGCATCTGTCAGAGCATTTCTCAACCCTCTAAATCAGACTCTTGCAGAGAGGGTGTGTGCAGGTTATATTAGCATGCTCTGTGGATTAATTTCACAAGCAATATATGATATATTTTAGTAACTTCCTCTAGAGGGTTAGGACATTTAACAAACCTCAGAATATTAAATGTACTTAGTCTGGACAGAAGAAATCAGACTGTAGTCTGGGGAGTGACAGAACTATTTCTCTTTCTTTTTAATAATTTTATTTTTCAATTAAAGTTGATATACAATATTATATTAGTTTCAGGTGTGCAGCATAATGATTAAACACTTATATAACTTATAGATGATCACCATATTAGTAACTATACTCCCTATGTTGTACTTTACACCCCGATGACTATTTTGTAACTACCAATTTGTACTTCTCAGTCCTCCCCCCCTTCACCCATCCCTCCAATCCCCCTCCTATCTGGTAATGAACAAAATGTTCTCTTTATCTACATCTATGAATTTGTTTCTGTTTTATTTTGTTAAGATTCCACATATAAGTAAAATCACACAGTATTTGTCATTCTCTGACTCATTTCACTCAGCACCGTACCGTCTAGGTCCACCCCTGTTGTTGCCGATGGCCAAGATTCACCCTTTTTTATGTCTGAATCAAATTTCATTGTATATATGCACCACTTCTTTATCCATCCATCTATTGATGGGCACTTAAGTGGCTTCCATATTTTGGCTATTGTAAATAATGCTGCAGTGAACATTTGGGTACACATCTTTTCAAATCAGTGCTTTCTTCAGCTAAATACCCAGAAGTGGAATTGCTGGGTTCTTTGTCTCTTGTTAACCTGTTTTAAAGTCTATTATGTCTGGTATACCCAAGCTTTTTTTTTTTTTTTATTGTTGTTCTTGTTTCCATTTTCATGAAACGTCTTTTTCCACCCCTTTACTTACAGTCTGTGTGTGTCTTTTGTTTGAAAGAGTGAAATTTGTAGACAGCATATGTAAGGGGCTTGTTTTCTTTTTCATTCAGCCACCCTATGTCTTTGGATTGGAGTATTTAATCCATTTACATTTAAAGTAATTGTCAATATTGTCATTTTATTCATGTTTTTTATTTCTTTTCCTCCTCCTCCTCCACCTCCTCCTCCTTCATCCGGTCTCTCTAACAGTTCTATAATACTGGTTTGGTGGTGATAAACTCCCTTAACTTTTTCTTGTCTGGATAGCTCTGTCTTCCCTTCTATTCTAAATAATAGCTTTGTGGGGTAATCTTGGTTGTAGTTCCTTGCTTTTCACCACTTTGAGTATTTCATGCCAATCCCTTCTGACCTTCAAAGTATCTGTTGAGAAATCAGTTGATAGTCCCTTGTAGGTAACTAACTGCTTTTCTCTTGTTGCTTTTAAGATTCTCTCTTTGTCTTTATCTTTGCCTTTTTAATTTTAATTTGGTGTGGGCCTCTTTGGTTTATCTTGTTTGGGATTCTCTGCGCTTCCTGGGCTTGTATGTCTATTTCCTTCACCAGCTGAGGGAAGTTTTTTGTTATTATTTTTTCAAATAGGTTACAATTTCTTGCTCTCTCTCTTCTTCCATTACCCCTATGATGCGAATGTTGGTACTCTTGATGTTGTCCCAGAGGGCCCTTAAACTAGCCTCATTTTTTTTGGATTCTTTTCTCTTTTTGCTGTTCCAATTGGGCGTTTTCTGTTACCTTATCTTCCAAATTGCTGATTCAGTCCTCTGCTTTCATCTAATTTATTTTTGATTCCCTCTAATGTACTCATTTTGGTTATCGTAGTCTTCATTTTTGACTGGTTATGTTTTCTGTTTGCCATGTTTATGTTTCCTAGCTCTTCGTTGAAGTTCTCACTGAGATCATTCAGCACTCTTATAACCACTGTTCTGAACTCCGCACCTGGTAGATTGCTTGTTTCCATTTTGTTTAGTTCTTTTTCTAGAGTTTTGTTCTGTGCTTTCATTTGGGACATGGCTCTTTGTCTCTTCATTTTGGTTGCCTCTTGTGTTTGTTTCTCTATATTAGGCAGAACTGTCATGTCTCCCAGTCTTGATAGAGTGGCCTTGTATAATAGGTCTCCTGCAGGGACCAGTGGCTCAATCTCTCTAGTTACTTGAGCCAGGTGCTCCAGGTATGTCCCTTGTGAGGGATTTATGTGCCCTCCTGTTGTAGTTGAGGGATTGCTGTTAGCATGTCAATGGGACAGACTGATTGTGAGGACTGACTGACTGTGACTACAAAGCAGGATTTGCTGTAGCAGAGATCTGGTGTCTGCTAAAGTCTATCCATTGAGTGCATTGTTTGTGGAGGTGGTTGGGTGGTGACCTTGTGTGGTCTGAAGCTGGCCACTGGGTGTGTTGGTTCAGGGCCACTTGATTTGAGCTACAAGATGATCTGTAGAGGATTGCCACTTTGCTGGGCTTCGAGATACCTGGGAGAAGCTGAGCTATGAACTGAGGCTGGCTGCCACTAGTGTTGGGCTTGGGGTTTCTTAGCAACAGGTATGGGGCCTGCCAAGATGAACATGTCTGGTGTTCGTGAACCTTTGAGAGATTTTAGGAAAGTTTGCACCATGAGCCAAGACAGGCCATTATTATGGAAAGGCCACTGGAAGTGGCTTGGTTGGGCCCAAAAGTTGGGTAGCTTGGTCCCGGAATCACCAGGGCAGGGCAGACAGTGAGAGCCAGGTTGACAGAGACTCAGATATGGCACCTGCCTGCCAGCTCTGTGGTGGGGAGGGCTAAGCAAAGGAAAAATGGCCTCTCCCAGCACTTCTATCTGGGAGAAAGCTGCCCCTCCAGCTCTTGCCCTGATGCCAGACTACTGAGTTTCCGTATGTCCTTTAGTGCTACTGACTCAGCATTGCTGTTCAGGGTGAGTGAGTCCTAGTAAGTCCATGGGTGGGCTTTTAGAGGAATGCCTGAGACTCTAGAAGCCCTTTGTCTCACTGAGCCACAATCCCTGCTGGTTTTCACAGCCAAGAGTTACGGGGACTTCTCTTCCTGGCACTGGAACCTTGGACTCAATGTCTGGTTATGGGGCCGGGACCCCTCGCTTCTCAGCAGGGACCTCTGCAGATGAAACATCCCTCCTGACTTTTAACTGCCACATATGGGTTATGGGACCAGCCCGTCCTGTGTTTCCGCCCCTCCTTCCAGTCTGGAAGTGGTTTCTGTATATCCTTAGTTATAGGACTTCTGTTCAGCTGGCCTTCAGGTAGTTTTCAATGGTGGTTGTTCTGTACTTTAGTTGTAATTCTGATGTGGCCAAGGGAGGAGGCAAGTACAGCATTTACTTGCTCTGCCATCTTGACCGGAAGCCCAGAACTATTTGTTTAAAATAACAATTTCAAGTGATTTAGTGTTCATAAAAATTTTAATGAAATACCAATTTTATCTCCTTATGTATCTCTTTGCAAATGTAAGACAAAGCAGAGTTTTATAATTTTTAAATAACTTGGGTAACAACTGCAGTGGTGGTGTTTCTCAAAAGGGAATTCTTTTAAATTATAAAGGATTTTGAGTGCTTGAAATCCTATGAAAAGAAACAAAAATCAAGTTTAAATATATTGTATTAACTTATGTTTAAAGAAATATATAAATCTTATGAGTATAAAGGTACATCCATTATAAGAATTTTACAGGTACAAACCAGCATATATTTAATTAAATATATCTTATGGGGAACTCAATAATTAAATACTAGGAGACATGGTCTTTGAAAATGTGCCTAAAGAGTAAAGCGATGGGAGTGGGAATTAAAGCAGGAGAAATCTTGTTTGCTAGGTGTGTGCTACAGTGTCTCACGGATGAAGGCCAGGGTGCTGCTCAACGTTCTCCATGGGATGGAGCAGCCCTCTCCGAACACTGAATTATGTGAAATCATAAGGCTTTATTATAGGAGAATTATAAGAAAATGTCAATAGTGCCAAGGTTGAGAAGCCCTGTTCTAGGGCAAAACTAGAATTAGAGACTCTGGCTCTCCGCTGATGAGAGCAATTGAGAGGAAGACAAAGAAAGAGTAAAAGGCTTTTGCTCTTCCAATGCAGCCACAAAGTGTCACTTACTGTTTGGTGGGATGAGATTATTTTATTCCACTCTCAATATTTTCCACAAATGGTAGGAACAAATATGAAGTATTATATATTGTTTGTTGGACAATTAAAGAATAATATGCTTTTGGTATAGCAAACTACAAAGTAAAATGACTTCTGTGATTGACAGATTCTGGAGTGGACACTCTAAAAAAATTTTTGATTTAAAAAACTCTATAGAGTAGTTCATGAATGTTCAACATTAGTGTCCATCAGAATGACTTATGTGTTTAAAATTCTGATGTTCATGCCCCAGCCCAAGCTCTAGTGAAAGGAAATCTAAGAGAATACTAGGATATTTAGAGAACCAGTGCTCCATTTCTTAAGAAAGGGTTTAGGCTTCTAAAAACATTGGAAACCTCCCTCTCCCTACTGTATTTCTGCAAAAATAGTCTAGAGAATTGAATATCTATCCAAAGAACTACACAATCTGAGCAATGTGTTTACCGCTTCACTGTATTTACGAATGCAGAAGTACACCAGGTCCAAATATCTGAATTATATTCCCTTGGCCATCTCAGTTAGATAATAATTGCATCATTTCAAGGATTTCTGAGGTGCTTCTTTCCACAATCACAGAGGACGGATATTCTATACCCTTCAAATTTCTAAGTGCTTTAACTAACCAAAGTAGCGTCCTGGGACCACAAATCTGAGGAAGTGAGTTGCTTGGTCAAGCTGACAGATCGAGATGCCTGGTTCCCAACTTTGCCACTGTAATCCTGTGAAAATTTGTGTCTTAAATTCCTCACCAATGAGATAGAGCTGATAAGGGCAGCCCTAACAATGATAAGAGACTGGCTAATAATGGAAAATGCCACAAGAAAAAATAATGATGTGGTAAAGCCTCCTTCCTTGCTCTGTAAACGCCGGGCGACTTTATCATGCCACCGCAGGCAGGGATGGAAGCTAACATTTATTCCGCTCCTTCTGAAGACCGGTGGTTGACACTAGTACAAAGTATATTGAAAGTGAAAATCCATCACTTACACACAATTACTTCATTTCCTTGCCCTATTCCCTAAACACATCCATTCTATAGACATGCTTTAAAAATACTCACATTTTCACTCATTGTAGTGGTTATGGATGCAGAAGTGCTCTTCCTGTTTGTGGAATATAAGAAACAACATTTATTACATGATCACTTCCAATTCTGAAACACATACCCTTCCATTTAATGTTACCTCCATACATTTTGTCAACAGAAAGAGGAAACTTTACCATAGCCAGATGCAAAAAAAAGCCAGAAGTCTCAACTGAATTTCTTATATTTACCGGCAATATTCAGAGAGAGAGCCATGCAACAAAATGTCAGTGTGTATGAAGCCCTGTATCAAGTTGTGGCCTAGGGCTAATATACTAAAGATTTTGTGGAATATGCAAAAGAGAGATTTACTAACTTTCAATTTATTGATTTAGTAACATTTAACATTGTGAAAGCTTGAGATTATCATCTCAAATTTCACTTTTTCCATGGAAAGTTTTATGTGGTAACTATGGTTTGGGGCTGAACTGTGTCCCCCCAAAAATCAAATGTTGAAGTCTCTACTCCCAGTACCTCATCATGTGACCATATTTGAAGATAGAATTAAATTAAGGTGAGGTAATCAGGGTGGGCCCTAATCCAATATGACTGGTGTCCCTGTACGAAGACAGAACTTAGACACAAACGCAGACAGAGGGAAGTTGGTGTGCAGACACAGGGAGAAGGCCATCTATAAGCCAAGGAGCGAGGCCTGGAGCAGATCCTTCCCTTCCTTGCAGCCCTCAGAAGGAACCAATTCTGCTAACACCTTGATCCTGGACTTCTAGTCTCTAGAACTGTGGGAAAATAAATTTCTGTTGTTTAAGCCACCCACCCAGTTTGTGGCACTTTATTATAGCAGCCCTAGCAAACTAATGCAATGTCCAATTCATTCATCAACAAATTCTGAGGGCCATGGGTTAGACCAATGGGAGATGTGTGTAGGAATAAAGGGAGTGTCTCGCACAGTACCTCCTGGGTTAATGGAGGCGCTGTGACTGAAGTGAAGAATAACAACCCCCTCACCGCAGCAATGTCAGCCTTTTCCCATAAGTAAGAGGGTGCCTCTCTGCTCAAAACCCTCTGATTACTTTTCATCTTACTCAGTAAAAGTGGAAATCCTCACAGATGCCCTGGGCGGCGTGGCGGGTGGCTATAGCAGCATCAGGCTAACCCTCTTTTCTGAACTCACCCTCTTTGCTACGGCTGGTCCTGATAACTTGGGCCTCATGCTGGACTTAGACAGGGATTATGAGGCTCAGAGGCCAGCAGCGAGCGGCAAGTCTGGCCACAGGAAATCAATGGCAGCTAAGCTTTCAAAAGATTAAGGAGATGACAAAGTATCTGAAGCAATGACAGCTGAGAGTAAAGGATACCCACAGACTCATCGTTGGGTTTGCCATTTCCACACATACAAGGAGGACAGTCACAAGTCAAATGCACATAAACTGGGGACTTTGGTGATCTTACCCAGACCTTATGCATCAATGACTCCTAAATCTCTAACTCAGTTACAATGTTTCCCCGAACTCCAGATTCATATGTCAGGTTACTTACTGATTATCTCTAGTACTTGGAAGTCTAATAGGCATCTCAGGTTGTAAAATTCCAAAAGACTCCAGGCCTTTCCACCTACCCCCACTGAAACTTTCAACCCTGTTCCTCTTGAATACTTGCGTTTTGGTAAATGGTAACTCCAACCTTCTCATGGCCTTAGGGCCATCCTTGATTTCTCTTTTTCTTAGAGCCCACATTCAATCAATCAATAAATTATTTAAAATGTTTCCAGAATCCTATCACTTTGCAACATCTCCAATACCACTGGTTTGGCCCAGCTGCTGTTTTGTCTAGATTGTTGAGTCATCTCTAGACAAAACACCCCCCACCCTTGGTCACCTTATAGTTCATTCTCAGTAGAGCAGCCAGTGTGAACCTCTAGGCTTAAGGCGATACTACTCCTCTGCCCATCTTACTGAGAACCAAAGCCAAACTGCCTAGAAAGGGCTCTGTACAATCTCCCCCCGCCCCACTTTTGTGCATTTATTTTCTCTTCTGTTGTCCTCTCTCTTTTCCAACCACACTGGGACCCTTGATGTTTCTTAGATAGTCCAGGCATCCCTGGCCTTGCGGTCTTCCCATTTGCTCTCTCCACTCGCCTTGACCGCTCTTCTCACAGATGTCTGCAGGACTTGCTCCCTCGGCTCCTTCAGGTCTTTTACAAACGTCACCGCCTCAGTGAGGCGTTCCCTAACCACAACCAGGTACAAGGACGACCTCCACTCTTACCCCGTGATTCTCTCTTCTCTTATCTGCTTTGTTTTCCCCCATTCTACTCATTACAATCTGACGCATTTGTTTCCTTTCTGCCTCTCCCTCCTAGAATGTAGGCTCCAGAGGGCAGATGGGCTTTTGGCCTGTTTCCTTTGCTGCTGTGTCACTAGTCCTGGGGACAGTTGTTGGGCACAAAATTGATATTTAATTAAATGTATAAGTGACTACTGAGGAAAATTTTACTTGGAAAATTTCAAGTTAGCAAATTACAGCAAATATATTTTTTAAAAGTAATTCTATGGAAATGCCCACAAAGTCAAACTGATGAATGTATTTCATTTCTAGGTAATGAAACGTCATCGACAAGCAGGCATGAGGCATGAAGTGGGATGTATTTCTTGAAGAACTTGAGTCACAGTTACTTCCCATAGGATTAAAAAGCTTCATAAGTAACTCAGCTTCCCACTTTTGACTTTAAACAGATGGTTAACAGACAATTAGTTGACAGCAGAGAAAAGCATGCATTTTAAGAAAGTATACTTACTGGAAGGAGGTTTCTTCTACAAAAGAATAATACATATCATTAATACAAGAGTTAATATACATGATACAGACTCATATAAAAATGAATTTAAGCTTAATTTCTTTTTCTCAGTCTTGATGCTCACTTGCTGACATTTGTACCTTCTAAATGAACGGTCAGCAAACTTTTTCTGTAAAGGGCCACATGGCAAAATTTTAGGCTTTGTGGGCCATGAGGTGAAATTAAGAATATTTTGTAGGTAATTATATAACAAGAGAAAATATACTTCCAAAATGGTTACCAATAAAATTTTTACTAAAATAATAGTCTTGTTTTTGCTAAACAGAAAAACAATTCTTAGGGCAGACAATATTTCTCTTAATTGGGGATCAAAGTTAGTGTTCGTACTATCAAATAGATTGCAAATGTTCATCTACAAAAACCATTCTTATCTCATTGGCCATAAAAAAAAAGTGGTGAGCCGTAAAAAAAGAGGTGGCAGGCCATATCTGGTCCACAGGTTGTAGTTTGCCGACCCTTATCCAAAATGCAAGTTCAAGAAAATGTTTCTCTTAGATTTTCTGCCAGATGAAAATAGGAGTAACATTCTTAGCTGGTGAACTATTAATACCCACATCATATCTTTGATTCAGTATTTTAAGAAAAAAATTGTTTACCAAGTCTTCAAAAAATACTTAATATATTCTTTGCAAGTAGAGATAAAGATGGTAAGAATTTTGAGCAGTCTTTTGTTTGTACTCTCACTGGTGACCAGCAGGGGGACTCAGCCAATTCCATTCATAAAATTACTGGAGTAGAAGCATGCAAATAAACGAACAAGTATTCATTCACAGAACAGTTATTAATTATGGAGGATATCTTTGAAACCATGTTCATGGAAACACTTCATGCTAGTATCTACTTACAGGTATTATTAGAAACCCCTTTTAAATTTAAGTTTTATTTTGGTATAAAGTATTTTTTTAAGCCTAAACTCCAAAATTAATGTTCACTGTGAAATGGTGGATCTAAAGCTAATTTATGCTATAAATTTATGTGTTATCCCATTAAAAATTCTACTCTATACACTAATGACAATGGACTTTATGGAGTTCTACAGTCTTTGAGCTCTCAGATAATTTTAAAGACCAAGGAGAAAGGAAATGCATTAGGAGAATAAAAGATTATTTCTTAATCTCACACCTTTGCTCCTATCACCAAATGGGGCATTAGAATTACAAGAGGGCTCAACGTGAAGAACTAAAAACTTTGTTCAGAAGCAACTCTAGCACAACAGGCTTCTGGTTTTTACTGAACAATCCTCTTCACAGTTGTGCTAAATTTGACATTCAACATTCCACTGTTCTCAACTGATAAAACAGTTCACAGATCTTTTTCAATGAAATTTCTCATCATAAAACAAGGCATCAACTTACCACTTGAGATATACAGTCCCTAACTTAAAAGGATCTTCAATGCATGTAAATGTACCACAAACATCCATCTACGCTGAGCTGACTATCTCTCGGTATCCGTGGGAGCACAGCACCCTGCCACCCCGCGGTGTCTCCCGGAATGCTGGGCTGAGGCAGCTCCGCCTTTCCTCCCTACGTTCAATGGGTGCTTCATGACTCACCTGCATGTCATCTGGGGTATTTTCTACTACAGAAAAAGTAATGAAAAATATTCTCCCAAGTTTGCTAGAACTTTTTAAGAGAAACGGTGTTTCAGAAAACAACAACAACAACAACAACAACGACAACAACTCCATATTCACAGGGATTTGTCCAGCAAAGGGTAAAATTCACTTACTCGAAAAGTAGCCTTTTCTCTGAGCATAGCACACGCCAAGGCCACAAACAGAAATCACCAAGGCCACAACTACTACAGCTGCTATAATGCCACTTATGTTGAGATCATCTGGAATGCAAAAGAAACACGTGTGAACTGATGTCAAATTGATGGGCAGAGGTAGTCATTACACTGAAAAAGTTCAAAAAAGCTCCCGTTTGCAGCTATACCATAAGCATGGATAATTCCATGGTTTTGAAGTCTGTTCAACTAATACACTTCTAGCACATGGTTCAAAATTGAATGAAAATATAAACAAAACAATGTTTGGCAAGACTTTGAAATTTTAAAAAGCTCTATAGTCCAGAAATAATATGTATGGTATCCTCTTGCATTCATGTGGAGGTGTAATAATTCATAAGATTACTTATCAGATTGGAAGCAATTTTTGAAGTTTAGAAAGCTCAAATATTCTACGACCACACCCCCTGCCCCAAATTTTACTTAAAATTCTTCTACATCATCACCTGGGTTAATTTCAACAAATATTGGAAAACTCATTCAGCACCAAAGCAAGCCCATGCTGCAGCTGTTCTATAAAATGGTTAGAAATGTACGTGAATTTATATGGGCTTGTGTGGGTGTGTGTACATACGTATATGCCATTACATTTATGCCATTAAGCTGTCATTCCATTAAATTCAAAATGAATTAAATTCCCCCCCAAAGCCTTTTCTTGTCGCTATTTAGGAATCTCTTCTCTAACCTAATACAACTGGATTTTTTCAGAGCCAAGCTTGAAATCATGACCATGTTACCAACTTGAGAGGGTTTTTTTTTCAGACACTGATTCTGTTGCCCAAGAATTAGATTATTAACATCCTAAAGTGAATATTTTTACAATTTTGAACTGCATCAAAAATGCCCTCAAGTCACCAATAAAATGATGAACATGACTTCGTTAGGGAAAGAACTACGCAACAAGTTATCAGATCCCGCTCTTCAATAACACAATTTGTTATCCGACTCTGGGTATAGACTCCAACTACATGTGAATCCATGCAGCTTTTAATTTGGATCAAATTTCTCCATCTTGTCTACAAGGATATCATGAGCCACACTCTTCAGTCACTTAGGCCCTTCCTATATACTGATTAACATATAAGTTATCTGTGATTTTTAAAGGAGCAATTTCTCAAAGGGGTCTCATGAAAAAGCAAGTATTAATTAGCATATCACCAAATTATTTGGAGAAAATATTAGGGATGATTTTTCTCAATAGTAACTTTAGATATTCTAAAGCAGTACATATTTTGGGAAAGATTAAAAAAATATTATATAAGTGAGTCTGCTTTTCATAAAAGCATCCTGTCTCCAACTCTTTTCCTCATGCCAAGTGTGTCATTAATTTTCCCAGATACCATTGAAATATCAGCTGATTTTTTTAAAGGAAACCTGACAAATCTTTTGAAAGATTTAGTAATTTGACCATAGTGGAAAACATTAATTATTGCTTGGGATAAACTCTGTTCATATTAACTTGAGTATTGGGAAGTCAGTGAACTCTAGAAATTGATTTCCTTGGACAAAAAAAAATAAAAGAGGGAAAACTTCACAAATATCATAATATAAAGCAAATTAAATTAGTAACAAAATGATACTCCTGAGAACAAAACTGTGTCTACTATATTCTTTGTAGTGGTCAGTGAATTGCACATTTATGAAGGATTCAATCTAAGGGCTATTATATGACCAAAAACACTGTCCTGTAGTTTGTCAATGAACTTGATTGACATCTACGAAGGACTCAACTGAAAGGCAAACTCTGACAAAAACAAAAAACAAAAAAAACTATCTTACTCTATAAGTGCTAAGTCATAGTATACATTTATTTTATTTTCTTCAATGAAATGGCAGCTATAGGGCTCGTAAGTTAGTGATAGGTTGTTTTCAGCCAGTTTGCCATTTACTGTGAAATACTAAGCAAGTCATATAACCATATTATGTTTCATTAAAGAGAAAATATAACACCACATATGAAAATATTTTGTGTTCTTTGTTAAAAAAACAAGCCACCATAAAAGGAATGCACCCTTATTCTAAATAAAAGGAAAGGAACCAAACTGCTAGAATGCTGTGTAGTAGGCTCTTCCAGAGATAATCAGCAAGTTCATGAATTTCTTTCTCTACTTCAAAAAGAACTTCTTTAGAACAGTTAACAGATTCTGCTTTTGGTTACAAGTTACTAATGATAATTCAAAAATAAAACTGAACATGATATTTCATGCATTGGTGTGCATTTCAAATTATATAAATTCCAAACCAAGGGCATAGAATACTTAGGAACAATTGGTGAGCACTAAACAAACTACTTTTAACATTTAAACTAACTTATATCAGAAAGAGTATATATGTAGAAATCATGATCAAATTAAACTGGTACTACTAGCAAAACACAGACTATTCAATTTTACTGGTTAAGCGTTTACTCACTGGATGCTAGGAAAATGTAACTAGAACGTTAAAACCATAACATCACAGATATTACTTCTTAAGGTGTGGCTAAATTAGGCATTAAAATTAAATGTGACCATTTAAGGAAACAATAAATAGCCATCATATAGGTGGTACAAGGTTTCAGTAAAAACCATTAGGACACTATGCGAATGAAGTTAGGAAAACACTAAATGGTGCTAATTTTTATAACAGGTTCTGATGATTTTTTTGTAATGATAATTCCAAACAGAGGGTGTCTAATAATATAAGCAAACACTTATGTTTGACCATCAATGCCAACATCTGAATGAATGTGGTGGGTAATAGGCATCCCTCAATCTAAAAAAACACCTGAAATTCAAACTTACTATTGAATATCTTATACGTTAGGATATCTCGAAGTCTAAGAAGATTATATTTTCTTCAAAAAATAATGCTGAGCCCTGGTTGGTGTGGCTCAGTGGAGTGAGTGCCGGCCTGTGAACCAAAGGGTCTCTGTCAGAGTCCGTTCCTGGGTTGCGGGCCAGGTCCCCAGTAGGGGGCACATAAGAGGCAACCACACATTGATGTTTCTCTCCCTCTCTCTCTCCCTCCCTTCCCCTCTCTCTAAAAATAAATAAATAAAATCTTAAAAAAAATAATGCTGAGTATAACTGTACACAGACAATACACATTACTGCACACATATATACGTACCTCTAAGCACATTGGAAAAATGAATTTCCGACCCTACCAAGCCCGGAACCCAGGGGGACCCTTAGTCTTCTGCCTCAGGGTACAGCCCTCCTGAGTGAACTTTAGCCCCTTGGGCACCACCTCAGCTCTCCCCTCTGTGTTACACAACCATTTTCAAAATACGTGGCTTTCACAGGAGGAAAAATTAAACCAAATTATTAAAAATAAAATGAAAAAATAATATGCTTGTTCTAAAACTCATATAATCTGAAAAGATTCTTGAGCACGAATTTTATTGGATTCTAAGAAGCTTATTTTGTGTAACATAATATATGGCAGCTAACTTTATGGCAACTTAAATCTGTAATTTATATTCAACATGCCTTTTTTGAGAAGCTACTTTGTGATAACTGTAAGCAGAGTATTTTAGAAAATCGACAAAATTAACAATAACCTGATAACAAGTAAGAGTCAATACTTACATAGGGCTCATAATATGCCAGCGCTACTCTTAACACTTTCAAATATTTTCATCTTCATAACAACCCTATTAGGATAGCATGCTTCTACTTCCATGTTGGGGAGACTGAAGTACAGAGGTTGAACAATTTGCCCGAGAGTAGGCCGCTAGCACGTGGCAGTCAGAATTCAAACCCCCATACCGAGTCCTTGACCCTGAGTAATTTACAGGACTCAGCTTTTGTCTGAAAGACTATTGCTCTCTCGTGGGCATAGGGTCAAAAGAGTTATTTGAAAGATTCAACAATTTGTAAAGTATAATCCTAAATATTCTTGGCTTGTTTGGGACATGGATTTAAAACAGCAACTTTGCTGCTTGCAACACATTATATCAAACTGGTTTTTAACATTCCCTCCCGTGCATGCTCCGTCACTCCCACTCGTCCCCCCAAAAGCTCGCACCTCACTGCAAACCGTTCATTCCTCCCTCTGTTTCATGCTTACCTACTTGCATTCGTTTCCCGGGGCACCTGCGAGATCCAATGGAATTACGGGCTTCGCAGGAATATTCTCCGCTGTCCAGTTTTGAAACAGTGTTAAATTGCTGGGATTTTGTGGAAGAAAAAATAAATGTATTTTTGAAGCAACAGATTTGTAAGAAGACTCCTAAAATAACTACGTCCCGTGAATTTTTATGTTAAGTGGGCCTTTCCTTTTCAATGACTTAAGACTTTGTATTTTTTACTGCAAATTCAAAAATCTTCCATGCCTTCAAGGAGTAAACAGCTAGGTCTCCTGTTTGACAGAGAAAGTCTTACAGAGAAGTAGCTCTTATGTGCGTGACACTGCAAAAGCAGCACAGTTACAGAGGCAGTGGGCATTTTTTGAAGTCCTAAGTGCCTTGTAGTATTAAGTATTCTAGGTATTTCTGATTCCCTGAGGAAACGCCATTAGGAAGCGAAGGCCTTCTTGGCCTAAAAGGGCTGATACACTTTCCCGAAGTCCCAAGTGAGTTTAGTGCAGCAGCAAAGAGTAACACTTCCTCTAAAGAGCTGCAGTTATGACCAGGAAGTAACATGGGGCCTAGAAAAATCCTAACCGATGTAGTTCATAGGAGTATAAAATCTTTGGGTTGCAGGATTTTTGAAAATCCTCAAAACTCCTTCCACTCCCTGCTAAAGATGAGACTTCGATATAATAGGTTTCATACTTGATATTAGTAGTTTTATTTCCTGGGGGAATTTCAGGAAGAAAGGAAGGAGACAGGGAGGAAGAGAGGGAGGTAGAAATATAGAAAAGAACGGAAAAGAAGACTGAAGGGAAGGCAGGAAGTCAGGCAGACTGAGAAGAAGGAAGGAATGCTGGAGGCAGGAAGGGAGAGAGGGAGGCTGGAAGGAAGGAGGGCAGGAAGGAGGGAATGAACGCAGTGGGTGCTGGACTTGGCAACGGGCTCTGCCAGGGCCAGTACCGAGGGTGAGAGGAGCTCAGAGCCATTCTTTCAGGGCTGAGTGACACCCTCAGAACCGCAGTGGTCCCTGCTGACCGAACCCAGAGAGCCGCCGTGAGGCTCTAAGGAGCACCCCCTCATTGTCTTGATTTTCATGCAAGAGAATGTTCCTAAAAATAGCCGAGGTTTTCATCAATTCCTTTTCCTCTCTCACTTTCCTTTACCCACTACCCACCTACTTCTCTTTTCTGTACACTTCAACTTGCCGAGATTAAAGCGTTTCCTTGTTGATTTTAACTCTATGGAGTTAGGTCTCACTCCCCGCAAAGCCAGACTACTTTAAAAGCACTCACCGTGAGCTCAAGGCTAAGGTTATGTATAAACAATCTGTGAAATAAAAATGATCTTCCGCAGTGATCATTATATGTAACCGGTAACCAAAAGGGAGTCACTGTCCTCCATACCCTGGTGGCTTGGCCGCTCCTCTCTCAGAAAATAACCCAGTCCCACCCTTGACACCGCAAGACATTTCAAGCCTTGAGGCTAACGGAGGAAAGTGAATCTGTGTCACCTCGGATTTGCCTTGGGGCTTTTATCACCTGCTCTGAGGAAAAATAAACTTGAAAAGTAAATTTAGCAAAGTGTGACCCCAGCTTTTCTGCGCAAGTTCTCAGTGTAAAGTCCCCGGGGCCTGCTGACGCCCAGAGGGCGGAGCGGGGTCCTCCTCAAGGAGTGGCCGCCTCCAGGGACACACTTTCTTATTTAGCCACTTCACCGATGTGCTTTGTTATTTCCCAGAAGATCTAGATTTTAAATGTTATCATGTACTTGTAGATAGAAGGCATATAAGGAAACCTTATATGCTCCTTGTAAAATTCATCAAAATTATTATTACCACATCTTTAAGATCTTTCGACAATGGTTGTGGTAGTGATTCTGCATTATTGGAAATCAGACATTTTTAAACTTACATGGTATTATTTCTTTGAATAAAAAAAAGTGTTTCAAGCTTAATGATCTTTATTTTTACTTCTGCCTCTACCTTGAGAAGTCAGAGACCAAAAAAGTAAAAATATTTTTATTTTTCATTAACTTTAAAGAGCTTATTTGTAGGTTTCCATCAGCATTCCTAGAAAGACTTTTCAATCAATCAGAAAATCTGGGCAAAATCTAAAGTCATAGATTCTGAAGTCAGTTGTTGATGATCTAGTTATGGAAGAATTTAATGACAAAGACATCCTATCATAGGGTGGCAACAGTTACTGTTCTTAAACGGCTGGCACTGGGGTAAGGGCACACCCCCCGCCCCTGTGCCGAGAGTTTTGTGCATTTCCTGATACTGTAAATAAGAGACTGCACTTTCTGCCCTTCCAGGCCAGGAAGGCAGCTGCAGTGAGCTCCCTGATCAGCCATGATGAATCAGACCTGCTCTGTTTCAGTCACTGCGCGGACCTTTGTGTGCTCAGCTCCCCGGTTCCCTGTATGGTCCTCTGACCTCCTGCAGCAGCCCTTTCCCTTCCTTCTCTGTGCATGTACCTCAGGCTTTGCTGCTGCCCTCTCCTCTCTCTACTGAACAAGCAGTGGTATCAACCCTCTATTCTATGACATTTCAGTTCCAATAATTTTTTTTCTCTCCAAATGCAGAACAGTTATTAGGCCAAGGCTTGCAGTGCCCTCACCAGAGTTCCAGATTTCGTATTCATGGTGTACGAGCTGTTGGTGCTTTGGGCGTCAAGGTCTGGATTCCCTAACAAACGGATGCCATTCTTAAACCACATGTATTCAGGGGCTGGATTCGCTTCTTTGTCTTGACATCGCAGCTCTACCACGGTTCCGCTCAAAGCAGAGTTGGGTATTTCACACGATGGAACCCCCGGAGCCACTGAGGGACAGAAGTCAAGGTGGTACTGGTTATTTATAAGCTGAACCAGGATTTTAACAGCCAGGTGAAGATGTATCAGACACCTGTGATAGTGCTGGCTACTTGTTCAAAAGACTATTGCCTTTCTTCATGGGCACATAGCTAGACCACATTTGCCAGTGTCCTTGCCGCCAGAGGGAGTCACAGGCATGAGTCCTGTGCCATTTCCAGGCCTGGTCCATACAAGCCTCCTGCATGTTTCTCCATTCATTCCCTCCCCCACCCCCTCCCACTCAGGTAGGTGTCAACACCCATGGTGTCCCAGAAAGCCACGTATTGAAGATGTCAGATCTACATTTGGTTGGGTCTCCAATAACTTCATGAAGTAGAATAACATATCTCCACTTGTACAATCTCTATCCCAACCATTAAGACTTGACCTACCTGAGAAACTTCTAGTATGTTAAGCTACTCACTGAGAGCAGTTTTCTCTTGTAATAGCAAGCATTATATTAGCTAATACCACAACTATTCTTTTTTACATAAATAATCTCTACTTTCCCCCCTCACCAATGGTTTTAATGTTTTATTGCCAAGTGTATTCAAAAGAGGTCAAACCCAGGTATATTTTTCAGGCCCAGCACTCAGACTAATATCCCACCATGCCTAGAACCAGCCAAATGAGAGAACGCCCGAGTCAGGATTACTCTGGTCCCAGGGATCTGTAAAGTAGACCAGACTTGACTAGGGGGAAAACCCAGAATTCTAAGTGGTAGGCAGATTTCCAAAATGGTCTTCAAGTTCCCCAGCCCAGGTACATATACACTTCCTCTCGTTCATTCCATCTAACACTGGCCTAGGTGCCACTCTGAAGGGATTTTGGAGATGCAGTTAAGGTCCCAATCCTCTGTCTTTCCAATCGGAGCTGACCTTATCAATGACTCCTTTAAAAGTGGTTTTCTCTGGCAGGCCACAAAAGGGAAAATGAAAGATTCAAAACACAAGAGCAACTAGACATACTTTTGTTGGACTGAAGATTTCAGGCTCGTGACACCCTGGGCAGGAAACCCCGCCACTTCATGCTGGACTTCTGAGCTCCAGAGCTGTGAGCTAATAAATGGGTGGGGGTATTGGGCTGCTAAGTCTGTGATCATTTGTTCTGTAGCAATAGAAAGCTAGTACACCAGCTGATTCTCCTACAAGGCTTTCTGAATTTCTTCTGTACAAGCACACCACTGATATTTCAGAAAGTGCCTGGACTATGGAGAAAAAGCAATGATTTTATTCCCCTTGCTTAGTAATTTATACTAACATCTATGAAGGAACGAAGATCGTGTTCCTTTATTAATAGTAAACTGACAAGCTGCCTCATTGCCCCCAGGGCTGGGCGATGGGAATTAGGGTGGGAACAGTAATGGCACAGATACAAATGCATCACCTAATACTTCTAGAGTGACAGTATCCTCTTCCAGTCTTGGGCCTTGCTCAGAGGGGGTACTAACTTCACAGCGGTATTTCCCAGCATCACTTCTTGTAACATTTTTGATCCTGATATTGAAATCCAGCATCTGAGCTCGATCTTTAAAATCACCTGTTAGAAAAAGAAGAAAACAATGTTGATAATAACACAACTTTCCATATGCTACCTTCCTCAAGTCACTTCATTCAGTCGCCAAATTGTTCATTTTCCTACTGATAAACTGAATTTAAAAATTTAAAAATTGTATATGGATGCTGCTGTTTCAAACATTTTTTAGAATGACATATTCTTCACAAAAGAACACTCAGTTCCATATTCCCATATTTTAAAGAATTCAACCCTCCCTTCTGCCTCATATTCTTGCTAGTATGCTTATAAAAAGATACTTGCCTTTGAGAGATACTGGACAGCCTAGTTTAATTAGCTGGAACAGTAACTTTCTGTGCTGTGTCGTGGTCCCTAAGACACTCCACAAAAGAAATGGTGAGCACATCTTAAAAACATTCTTTTGGTTAGTTTTTGATAGTAATGTCTGTGGAATTAAAATAGTGCTTTGTATAATTTTCAGGTGCCAGAATTGGCAATTATAGAAAATTCAAATAAAGACAGCTAATGCTTTTGGCACCCTGAAGTCTATAGCCTTATCATGACAGATATGAAGCAGAGAATATATTAAATTTTCTGTAAACTTTAAACATGTGTTTATATAACTCTTTAAAATTAAATTAACACATAGTATTTTAAAATAACATGTTTAATATACCTGTTGAATATTTCCAGCTTTAAAAATGTTTGTAATGGCAAATTTCAAGCATACACAAAATTAGAGAGTATAATAAAATGAACCTCAATGTCCCCATCACTCAGCTAATAGTAATCAATGCATGGCCTATCTTACTGTATCTGTACTCTAACCATTTTTATCTGTCATTATCAATACTTTAATCAAAAGCTCATCACATTCTCAATAGAAAGAACTGGAAGTAGAAATGTAAGACAAATAAAAATTAAAAAAAGAAAGCACTGGATGAAGGTAGTTGTATCTACCCTCCTACACTTCTTAACTCCCTAGGTGTCTCAGGGGTGGCCTAGCTTTCTAATGGAGATGTGGCAATATGGTCAAGTTACTATGAACAGTGCCTATCCATTCCCAACCCGGGGCCATCTTGTCTTTCTTTCCCCTGACAGTTTGATCTACTGGGCCAGTAAGAACAAGTTGGTTTTCCACCCTCTAGGACTGAGCTGAAGAGTGAAGGGTCCAGGGCTTCAGCGGAGTTTGCCTACTTCTGTTTTGCGTTTTAGGTCTCAGGCACTTACTGCTGGTTTCATCTCACACTTCCAAAAACATGTTTTCTGTAGTCAGCTGTGTCCTGTTCTCATCTGTAAACTAAAGGATACCAGCTGCACTGAAGTCTGCTCTCTTGCTCCTGCCCAGGGTCCGAGCTCCTTACCTTTAAGAGCCTGTTCATAGTAGACAAAGGAGACGCTGTCCCCCAGTTTCTTCCACTCTAATCTGGAGGCCATGGTCTTCTTTAGGTATTGACAGGTTAAAACAGCCTCTAGAAACAACAACAAAAATAATTATTTGCTAATTGTTCCTTCAAAATTACATTTTACTTAATTAAGCATATATTTTTAATATCCTGAAGTTACTCCTATTTTTCTTTTTTTTAAAAAAGATGTTATTTATTTACTTTTTAGAGAGAGGGAAAGGGAGGGAAACAGAGAGAGATACATCAATATGGGAGAGGTACGTCCATCAGTTGCCCCTGCACTCCCCAAACTGGGGACCTGATCCACAGCCCAAGCACATGCCCTGATTGGGAATCGAACTGGCAACCTTTCAGTTCGCAGGCCAGTGCTCAATCCACTGGACCACACCAGGCAGGGTTATTGCTTTGCATTTCTACTCATTCATTCCCTCCCTTTCTCCCTCCCTCCCTCCCTCCCTTCCTCCCTTCCTGCTTTCCTTCCTAAATTACCTCAACATGTACTACATTGGCCTAACCCAAAGATACATTGAAAGCATTATACCTCTTCTACACAATAATTGTGTGACACTTTGTTACCTTCCCTAGATCCTGAGCATCAGTTGCCCTATGTAAAATAAGATAGTATCTCAAATTCTTGTGAGTCTTCAATGAAATACAATAATATATATGCACAGTAAGTACTTCAAAATGGCACAATGATTAATTATTTATTTCATTCTCTCCAGTCTCAGGCTTCAGGATCTTATAGTCTGGAAAAAGAGGGAAATGAGATAATGCAATCTCAGTCCAGTGCGATGACTGCTGGGATGGAGGTGAGCGGAGAGCGCTTCGCACCTGGGGCCCGGGGGAGCACTAGGTCCAGCCCAGCCCATGCTGGGGCAGCCCACAGACGTTCCCACAACAGGCTGCACGCTCAACAGGCTGCACGCTCAACAGGCCGCACGCTCACTTGGGTGCCTCCTGCGGTAACGCTCGCTGTGAATGCGCTGATACGAACCCAACACTGTCTTCTAACAAATTGTGGATTCCTACCCCTTACCTCGATCCAGACAAATTATGCTAACATTCTTTCCACATCTTTGATTTTGATGTTAAGAAGATATATGGACATTTTAAAAAAGAATTCAGGATATTACATGGTAAGGTAGATTATGTAATGCTTATGATACTATCTTGGTTTTTTAAAAAAAAAATATTTACACATAGATATGGGATGAAAGCCTGTATAAATGTGCATGAAAATATGAACCCAGTGATGATTTCTGTGAGATATAATTATGATTTTTCTTTTTGTTATGTGTAGCTTTTATGTTTTTTAGGTCCACACATATTGTTAGAAATACAGAAATAGAATCAAAGGTAAAGAAAAATTGAAAGTAGGACAAAGACAGGCAAGAAAAAAACATTCAAAGCTGTTTTCAAAGATGCCTAAAGTTTTATAAGCAGGTTTTACATTACAAAAAGACATCATTTGAGAGATGTGTTTACAATTATACTGCAAAGACAAATGTGCGCTGAGGAACTTGCCTGAGGAAACACAGCTCTATTCTGTTGATTAAGGAGAATGGGTGGCGACCTTCCTGAGTCTTGAGTTTTTAGATAGGTTTCCTTCCCGTATTTCACTGAGTTTCCAACAATTAAACACACACCCACACTCACTTTTAGCCTGTACTTCTACGTCTTAGGAATAAATTTATACTCACTTGTTTCACGGATTTAACTGGACACACACACACACACACACACACACACACACTTGGCGAATTCTGCCTAATTTCTATCCTCACTGCTCTACGGGGGACTTTTGCAGAAATTACATTAGAAAATGTAACTTGATTTTCCTAAGTGCAGCTGATGCCACTCCGGCCTCATTTGTACTGACCATGTAAACTGTGGAGAAATATCCCACTTACCTAAAATACACCGAGTATGAGTGTCCAGCATTGTTCTGCTGCTATGACAGTGAGCAACACAAAGATCTCTGACTTTTGGATCTCACAATTGGTAGGGAGTCAGGGACACAAGAAACAACATAAAGTAAATTACAGAGTATGTTAGGGGATGATAAGTATAGATCAGAGAACAGGGAAGTTTGGGAAGTGCCAAGGGACAGGGATGTAATTAAAAAAAAATAAGGTAGAGTTCACCTAATTTAGAAGGTGACATTTGAGCCAAGACTTAAAAGAAGGGATTAAATTCCTTAGAATTTGAACTAGAATTTCCTAGAATTCAAATTTAGAATTCACCACGTGGTTCTCTGGGAGTATTCCAAGCAAGTGACTAACCTGTGCCTGGATCCTAAGGTGCTAACACCAGGACACCCAGAGTTACAAGGAACAGAGAATTGACTAGCATCATGGGGTCAACATCTAAGAACAACAAACCAAGTAAATTTAAAAGCTAACTACCATAGACTCTTTTCTCTTAGCCAAAATTCAACAGTCAAGGCCAGTCTAATTCTGCATCTAATCCTCACGGTTATCATGCCACTACAGTAGCTTAAAGGAGTTAGACTGCTGCCATGTATCAGGTGTGTGATATTGTGCAAATTACTTAACTTTTTTTTGAACACTATATTCACATCGGTAAAATGAAAAGAATAATAGTACTCACCTCAAGAAGTTGTTGTAAGGATTACATGATACCACACACACACACACACACACATACATACACACACGGTACTTTGCATATAGTCCCTGCTCCATAAATGGTCATTATTACTTTCATACATGAGGAGCTTCCCTTAGTTGTAGCTGCAAGCTTGCCATGGCATGACAGAAATCCACACTTTATACCATCACAAATTTACCTAAAAATCACACAGATTTGAACTAAAATGTTCCCTCTGAGGCAGCAAAGAAAATAATACAGATATTTTCTCAAAATAAGGCATATCAAAACAGAAAAATGCACCAAGTTTTTCCATTAAGATAATTTTAATTTCCATTAAAATGCTTCATTTGGATTGAGAAGAGGTAATTCTTTGTTTCGATAAAGCATCAGCAACAACTATTTTACTACACGGTGCATTTTAATTTTTCTAGGACTCTGTACTATTGACTACCTTTTGATTTTATTCTCTATGCTGAAGTTAAAAATCAAAATCTTACACAATGCAGGAAGAGAATTGATACTACTAAAGTAGTTGTGAAGAATTACTTGAAATTACCTCTGTGGAGAAAAGCATGCTATTAAAGCCTGATTTATAGCTCTTAGGGCTGGACACTCTGCATAAGGCTGTTCCTATAATTTATAAGCCTGACAGAGCTGCCTTTATTTCAGGATTATTCTGTGGGAAGTGGCACCACCGTGGGAAGTGATATAGAACAGAAGTGCTGAAAAGAAGAAATTAATTCACGATTTATTGACATCAGAGGGATAGGGACAAAAAAACTGAATGAACTGCATGGGGCACACATACACACTAATCATAACACGTTTTAGACTGCAAATACAGCTAGTTTGCTGCATACAATATCCTAAAAATAAAACGTGAAAGAAGATAAAAATTTATTTTTGCTTTATGAAGAGCCAAGTTGGAATGATTAAGGCACATATAAAATGGAATCAAAATGTAATTCTTAATTGAAAGGTGCAGGGGCCATGCTGGCTGGTGTGGCTCAGTGGATTGAGCACCGGCCTGCGAACCAAAGGGTCACGGGTTTGATTCCCAGTCACAGCACATGCCTGGGGTGTGGGCCAGGTCCCCAGTAGGGGGTGCACATGAGGCACCCACATATTGATGTTTCTCTCCCTTTCTTTCTCCCTCCCTTCCCCTCTCTCTAAAGATAAATAAAATCTTTAAAAAAATAAAAGGAAAAGAGGTGAAACAAAAAGAGAAAATACTTATTTGAGAGTAAGACTAACATTCGATTGTAATACATTATAGAAAGATTTTTCTATAATAAACACAAAACACCCATGAAAAAGTAATGTAAATGGTACAGGGTTTTAGTTTGGAGTGATGGAAATGTTTTGAAACTGGTTAGAGGAAGTGGTTGCACACTTGTGAATATACTAAGTGCCACTAAATTGTTCACTTTAACATGGTGGATTTTATGTTACGTGAATTTTGCCTCAATGAGTTTTAAGACAGTAATGTAAGACTACAGACTATAACTTTGGCATTCTATAATAATTCAGATATCATGGCACAGTGCCTAAGGAGCAGGGATGGGTGTATATCCATGGTATCCAACTGGACCTAACAGTAAGAACCTCCAGAAAGTAAAAAGTGGGAGAAATTAACACTTCCTTTGTCCCGCATGAACCTCCTCACCCATTTTGCTCTCTTTGTGCTCACTCTTTTGGCCTTTCCAGTGCATCCGGCCCTGCTTATCCTTCCTACCTTTTCCCATTTAAAACGAAGCCACAATCAGACTGAGTATTCTATTAGCTTAATCATGCAAAATATTAGGACTTCCTAAATACCTAAGTAATTTGTTATTAAGTGGTGTTATTTTTGAATGACAGGTTGACTCTTATTATAGCTTTTTTTTTTTTTTTACTGAACAAGCACATATAACACAATGTGCCAGGTGTTATTGTAAGCACTGGTTAAATACTAATTAATTTAATTCCTCCCCACCCCAGTCCTCTTCTATAATCTTTGTCTCTCTCCTTGAAATCTCTCTCTCTCTAACTCCAGGAATCTAAGACCTGCCTGAAGAAAGGATCATACAGTTAGGACTTGTTTCTTAAATGTTTACAATCTCTGCCTAAACAAGCATCACATTTAAGAAAGAGTTGTTCTTCTATTTTTCTAGTATTATTGTGATCCAAGTAAAAGAGGCTTGAGAAAAGTAGTGGAGAGTCAATATTTGACGTAAACTTACAAAAAGCCTTTATAAAATTTTGGTTATTAGAGCCTTTAAAAATTTTTTAAATTGTGGCAAAATACACATAATTTAAATTTAACATCTTTACAATTTTTAACTGTATAATTTAATTGTACGATTTAACAGTAATGTTAACTACCTTCACAACGTTGGGCAACCAATTGCCAGAAATTTTTCATTTTGTAAAACTGAAACTTTGTACTCACCAACTCTGCCTCATAGATATTTTGAAGAAACCAAAATAAAGAACAAAATGGCACGCCCAAATAGACTATATTAATGCTATCTTAAATACATTCAATAGCAGGAGGTTTGCAGCATTAATTTTTATTTACTGTACCTAGCTGGCTGGAAACTCTGCCAGAGCGCCAGCTCCCAAATTAGATTTGCTATGTTGCAGCTAATTTACGTAATGAGACCTTTTTTTTTGACGTCAGGTCTTTCATTGCATTGCCACTGAGGAGGTGGAGAAAGCATTCTCAAGGTGGAGATGGCACTTGGGGCAGAAGAATTAGTGTGGGGTGAGACGGAGGGTTCTGACAAATAGGAAGATAATAACACCACGTGTCATACTCTTGAGTCTTTCAGACAACACCGTCGCTGAAAGTCAGTAAGGTACTCTACCTTGATACTCTATTGCTGTGATTACTTGATGGTCTTTTGGGGCAGACAATCCACACGCTTTATGATCTGGAAGATTAAAACAGATAGAATAATTAAAATAGTACAAAAGGTCATTTTTAAATGTTTGGGGGTGCAATATTAAAGAAAACTGGCCTCAGGTTTGGCGACAGTTTCATATAATTCATAACGCATAAGTTTTAAATATTAAAACAAGAAAAACCCAGCCAAACCGTTATATTTTATATGTCTCTTCCATTTGCCGTCTAGTGGTTTTACCCTTTAAGCAGAACGCATCCATCTCTTAGGGCCCCTCACCACGAACAGCACAGCCTCACAAGCCCCGCTGCTAAACACCAGTGTGTGTCTTTCAGCTAATATGTAGTCTAGGGTCAAAGGGCATTGTCCCCCAAATAAAAACTAATACTTTTTAGCACCTCATTCAAGGGTATCAGTTGACTTGTGACCTTACCCCTGACTAAACCTACATCATAAGGACATGAGTCACGATGGTGATTATGGCGACCTAATAACAAGGGATGATGGTGACATGGTTCTATCGTCATTCCTACGATCTTATATACAATTTTCATTTTAAAAGGTATCATATACCTTTTTTGTTCTATAAAATCCAATACTCAAAGTGACCTGGTATGCTAGATATTCCTTTCTTTCAAATTTTTTATTGTTTATTTTTCAATTAAAGTTGACATACAATATTCTATTAGTTTCATGTATGCTACATAGTTATTAGACATTCATATACCTTATGAATAGACATACTAAGACTTGAACAACCAAGTACCAGAACAAGAAATTAAAACTTGCTAATTCAATCTTTGTTATGTATCACTTTGTGTTATGGACATCATTCTACTGTCCAGTTTAATGACCATGTTTAACAATACTTTAAATCACTTCCTCTAAGTATAGGTCTCTGACAGACAAATGCTACTAGGGAAAGATTTTTACCTGTTGTAATCTCTGATATAGACTGAACACCTAGAACAGTGCCTGGCATAAAGCAAATAAGTATTTGCTGGATGAATAAATACTACCCCTCCGTATCATATACTAATGAGGGGAATCCAGTAAGTGGGGTCAGAGCAAACTGATACTAACGAAGGGTTCCTACAGGTAAGCGATTCTTTGGGGAAGGTGATTTAAGTATACAATACTGAATTGATATTAATTAATTACTTCACAATCATAATACAAAGCATTTTTGCTAGTTATCTTGAGTAAACAATTTAGGTAAAATAATGCAACTTCTGTCCTTCATTATTCACCCTTAAAATCATAAATGAAACAACCTAAGATCAAATTAACCTGATCATAAAAATCTAAAGAAGGCTATTTCTTGCCCTGGCCAATGTGGCTCAGTTGGTTGGGCATCGACCTGCAAAGCAAAAGGTCGCAGTTCAATTCCCGGTCAGGGCACATGCCTGGGTTACCGGTTCAGTCCCCTGTCATGGTGTGTACGAGAGGCAACCAACTGATGATTCTCTCTCATATTGATGTTCCTCTTCCTCTCTTTCTCCCTCCCCTCCCATCTAAAAATAAATTAAAAAAATAAAAATAAAGGTTATTTCTTGAATATTTCTCTAATTTACTGGAAGTGCTGTTTCTCTGTTCATTCTATCATCTGCCTTCTGCCTTTATGAGATCTACAGATCCTGTTTTCACCAAGGGGAAAGTGACCTCTCTGTTGCCATATTTGAAGTACAGTTTTCAGTGTTGATCTTACTTGGTCTCTCTATGACATCTGACTCTGTTGACTTCCTTGGATTGTGTGACATGACTCTCTCCTAGTTTTACTACTGTCAATCTCTTGTGGGTTCTTCCTCCTTGTTCTTACCATCCATCCATCTATCCATCAACTACTTTTCTAACTCAACTAACTTTCTATATAACCTCTTATACTCTCATGGACGCCACCACCTTTGCTCAAAAGTCCTAAATCTGTATCTCCAGCTCTAATTTCTCTCCTGAGATTAAATCCATAAACTCCTCATTCTACAGGAGATCTATATTTCCCTTTCCAACAAGAATCACAAACTCATAGGCAAAAATAAACTAATAGGCTTTTACCCTCAAACTTTGTTTTCTTTCGACAAATCCCATCACAGTGAAAGGTGCCACAATCCCCATGGCCGCTCATGCCAGAAATGCAGGGACTGCCCATGACGCAACATCGTCCCATCTACTCACTCATCAGTTTCCACCTATAGACGGAGGACTGTACATCATCCAGGACAACGTTTTGGCATATTTGCCCTCCCCCACCTTCATGCAGCCTGGTGCTCCTTCCCTTAGGAGGGGATATAGGTAGCCAAAATCGAGAGAGAAAAACAACGTACTTCCCCCCCTTCCACATTTAGAAACCTTGGCCATGAGGGAAATGGAAACAACTCATTGTACATGCAAACACTTAAGAAAAATCATACCTTCTCTTAAGCCTTATGGTAGAGGGAAGGAAGTGAGTTGGAGGACATGGATCTTAATGGGCTCTTGAGAAAGAACAATAGATAACATTTCACTTAGATGTTAGGCGGCATTCACAGTACCCTACAAATGTTAAATTATTTAATTCTCACAACAATCCTCTGTGGGAGGGTACCATGTTTATTCACTTTTTTTCCTAAGGTGGGGAAACAGAGGCACAGAGAGGGTAAGAAACTTGGCTTTGGTTATACAAGCAGTAAATGGTTAAGTTGGGATTTGAATTCGGCCAGTCTATACCCAAAGCCCACATCGCTGGGCTCCACATCATGTCCCCAAAAGCTGAACTTTGAGGAAGGAATTCACATTCACAAAGATATCAGGTGGAAAGTTCCATAGGTCTAATGAAGAAGGGGTAGGTTGAGAAATTGGTGGTTATAATGAAGGCAAAGAACTGGTTCTGAAGCACAACAGGAAGGTGGGGGCTATGATGCTGTGCCTGGGGAAGCAGGGCAATAAGGTAATCTCAGAGGGGAGGTAGTAGACCAGGGTTCCTCAATCTTGGCACTATTGACTTTTGCAGCTGGATCATCCTTTGTTGTGTGTCCTGTGCTTTGTAGGAGGTTTTGCATTATTCCTGGCTTCTATCTACTAGATGCCAATAACATCCACCCTCCCTCCATACTAACCCAAGTCATAACAACCAAAGACATTTCTAGATATTGCCAAATGCCCCCTAAAGATAGACATACCTGCCTGAAAACCACTGCTCTAGACTTACAACGAGGCTGGTTTTGTGACAGGCAGCTAGACAGACGTGAGCAGAAAAAGGACAATAGGCCAGGTACGGAAGGTCATCACGGCAGAAGGCCAGGGTGCCTAGCTGCAGGCAAAATTGGGAAAGCAAGGACCTCACCGCCGGGGTGACCTTTCCCTTCCCCAGCATGTTCCTGGTTCTGCAGTTTGAACCTTGCCCTGACACTTCCTCCCTCCTCAATGTGGCACGTTGCTAGTCATATGGCAGACCCTCTTGGAGGCCAGAAGGGTGGTCTCATTCACCTCCCATGCAGGCCCTTGTACAACCTCTCCCTTCAGCATTAACCCCTACAGATAACATCTAGGCCTCAGTTGCATTTCAGCTCCAGGCCCAGAAAAGCAGCAAAAACAGACAAGTGATGTCACGGCTGACCTCAGGACCCGCTGCATGGACTATGGAACCCCTGCCCTGATGCTGACCAATCAGTGGGGACCTCGACCCCGAGGAGACACACCTGGAAAGCTGATGAATATTCTCTTGGGATCCTGCCCTGAGACCTGCCGATAAACGCTCTCATGACCAAGGACCCAGCGGGCTTTCTCCAGGGAGCACGTCCGCTCCTTTCCCCTCCCCTTCTACTTCCCACCAGGGTGTCACCTTTACCTTTCTCTCTCTTAAGCTACAAGGGCCCTTCTCTTGCCTCTGTAACTCAGTTTCCTAAACCCATTTTTTTTTTTTTTTTTACTGCTCACTTCTACCTCTGTGACTCTCTAAATAAACTCCCTTATAGTTTGAGCCTTGGCTCTGAATTCAAGTGCTGAGGTTGCCGAACCAAGGTACGGTCTGACTATACTGGTCTAATGCTTGCTGTTGTTTTCGCTGCCACCAACAGTTTGAGGAACCAGGAACAGAAATAAGCAAATAGATGAAAGGAGGGCAAAGAATCATGAATTTATGGATTTTGAAAGTTCTTTTGAGAAATCCTATCAGAACTTTTAACCATGAAATAATTACACTTTCAGGAAGGAGAAAAAGATCTTTCATACAACACAGCATCTTTTTTGTTGATTTATTTATCTACATGTCCATTAACATGTAAATTAGTCTTCACTGTGCTAGACTTTATCACTCCTAAGGAATACATGCTATTCTGAATCTTTTCTTTTCTCTCTCTTAGCAGGCAGGACAGCAAATTTAATTATGAAAAACCCCTCAAAAATCTACAGGCCTCAAACACCTAGCTCCCCTGTCAAACATCAGTCGGCTATTCAGGTTCTATATTTCTGATTTGTAAACATCTTCATGAGAGAAATTGGCAAACCTGGTGCCTATGTGAAGAATGAACGACTGAACTGATCTGTTCTATTGACAACTGTAAATACATTTGGACACAGCAGTGAGCCATGTGGCTAGCCTTAGAGAAGTGTAAGGGCCACTGAAGAATAGTTTCAAAATAACTGTTTTGCTTATGATTTTCAAAACCATGAAGGGGGTCTAAGCAATCTTTTTGATTATGCTTTTTTCCTTTTCCATACACTTCTGTCACATACCAGAATATGTCCTGTGTTCCTCTGAACTCCACCCTCACCGCCACCCCCTTGTGCCTTTCTATTCAAGCTTCTCTTCTCATTCCCCAATTTTGTTTTGTAGCGTCCAAAGGTAGGATCCAGGTCTTTAGAGAGTGGAGCAAGGGAAGAGACTACGCTGGCCAAAGCAGATTCCTCTTACATGAGCTAGAGAGAAGACAGGGCCTGCTGTGTTCCTGTTGCATTATACCCCCGTTTAAATGATACGAATTTTTTTTTCTGCCAGTGATTCTGATTTCAAACCATTATTCTGTGAAACTTTCAAAGCACACGTTGGAAAAGTC